CGCACCGTGAATCGTGTGCGGTAGGGGGGTCCGCACCGTGTACTCGTGTGTTGTAGGGGGGGTCCGCGACCGTGTCTCGTGTGTGGGGTAGGGGGGTCCGCACCGTGACTCGTGTGTGGTAGGGGGGTCCGCACCGTGTCTCGTGTGTGGTAGGGGGGTCCGCACCGTGTCTCGTGTGTGTAGGGGGGTCCGCCGACCGTGTCTCGTGTGTGGTAGGGGGGTCCGCACCGTGACTCGTGTGTGGTAGGGGGGTCCGCACCGTGTCTCGTGTGTGTTGGGGGTCCGCACCGTGTCTCGTGTGTGGTAGGGGGGTCCGCACCGTGACTCGTGTGTGGTAGGGGGTTCCGCACCGTGTCTCGTGTGTGGTAGGGGGGTCCGCACCGTGTCTCGTGTGTGGTAGGGGGGTCCGCACCGTGTCTCGTGTGTGGTAGGGGGGTCCGCACCGTGTCTCGTGTGTGGTAGGGGGGTCCGCACCGTCCGTGTGTGGTAGGGGGTCCGCACCGTGACTCGTGTGTGGTAGGGGGGTCCGCACCGTGTCTCGTGTGTGGTAGGGGGGTCCGCACCGTGTCTCGTGTGCGGTAGGGGGGTCCGCACCGTGACTCGTGTGCGGTAGGGGGGTCCGCACCGTGTCTCGTTTGTGGTAGGGGGGTCCGCACCGTGACTCGTGTGCGGTAGGAGGGTCCGCACCGTGTCTCGTGTGTGGTAGGGGGGTCCGCACCGTGACTCGTGTGTGGTAGGGGGGTCCGCACCGTGTCTCGTGTGCGGTAGGGGGGTCCGCACCGTGACTCGTGTGTGGTAGGGGGGTCCGCACCGTGTCTCGTGTGCGGTAGGGGGTCCGCACCGTGACTCGTGTGCGGTAGGGGGTCCGCACCGTGTCGTGTGTGGTAGGGGGTCCGCACCGGACTCGTGTGTGGTAGGGGGGTCCGCACCGTGTCTCGTGTGGTGGGGGGTCCGCACCGTGTCTCGTGTGCGGTAGGGGGGTCCGCACCGTGTCTCGTGTGTGTAGGGGGGTCCGCACCGTGTCTCGTGTGTGGTAGGGGGGTCCGCACCGTGTCTCGTGTGTGGTAGGGGGGTCCGCACCGTGTCTCGTGTGTGGTAGGGGGGTCCGCACCGTGTCTCGTGTGTGGTAGGGGGGTCCGCACCGTGTCTCGTGTGTGGTAGGGGGGTCCGCACCGTGTCTCGTGTGTGGTAGGGGGGTCCGCCCCGTGTCTCGTGTGTGGTAGGGGGGTCCGCACCGTGTCTCGTGTGTGGTAGGGGGGTCCGCACCGTGACTCGTGTGTGGTAGGGGGGTCCGCACCGTGTCTCGTGTGTGGTAGGGGGGTCCGCACCGTGTCTCGTGTGTGGTAGGGGGGTCCGCACCGTGTCTCGTGTGTGGTAGGGGGTCCGCACCGTGACTCGTGTGTGGTAGGGGGGTCCGCACTGTGTCTCGTGTGTGGTAGGGGGGTCCGCACCGTGACTCGTGTGTGGTAGGGGGGTCCGCACCGTGACTCGGAACATCCACGTGGAGACGTTGAGCGTGTTCATTTATAAAAGAGGCAGCCGGTTCTTTGATCGAGCGAAAGAGGGAAGGCCTTGGGCCTAGACTTGAACAGAGGCAGGGAGGCTGACGGCACAGATGGCTGGGGGAGTTCTAGACCATGGTGGGCCGCGGAGGAGGAATGATTATAGTGAGAAGAGAGGGGAGAGTGGGTGGAGGGTGAGAGGCGATGACGCTCAAAGCTTCACACCGACAGATTCTAGAATCCATTGGTGTGCCGCCGTCCCGTGGCCCCCGTGTGCGTGCGCAGGCAAGTGGATGTACGAGGTGCTGCTCTCCTCCAAAGGGCTCATGCAGATCGGCTGGTGCACCCTCGACTGCCGCTTCAACCAGGAGGTGCCCGCGCCACTGCCCCCACTCCCCCGCCGCCCGCCCGCCGCTTCGTCCCCGCCGCGCCGCGTCTCTCTCACCACTCACGCTCACCGTGCCGCGTCTCTCTCTCTCTCTCCACTCACACTCACCGTGCCGCGTCTCTCTCCCTCTCTCTCTCCACTCACACTCACCGTGCCGCGTCTCTCTCTCTCTCTCCACTCACACTCGCCGTGCCGCGTCTCTCTCTCTCTCTCCACTCACACTCACCGTGCCGCGTCTCTCTCTCTCTCTCCACTCACTCACCGTGCCGCGTCTCTCTCTCTCTCTCCACTCACTCACCGTGCCGCGTCTCTCTCTCTCTCTCCACTCACTCACCGTGCCGCGTCTCTCTCGCCACTCACGCTCACCGTGCCGCGTCTCTCTCTCTCTCTCCACTCACTCACCGTGCCGCGTCTCTCTCGCCACTCACGCTCACCGTGCCGCGTCTCTCTCCCTCTCTCCACTCACGTTCACCGTGCCGGTCTCTCTCGCCACTCACACTCACCGTGCCGCGTCTCTCTCGCCACTCGCACTCACCGCGCCGCGTCTCTCTCGCCACTCACACTCACCGTGCCGCGTCTCTCTCGCCACTCGCACTCACCGCGCCGCGTCTCTCTCGCCACTCACACTCACCGTGCCGCGTCTCTCTCGCCACTCACACTCACCGTGCCGCGTCTCTCTCGCCACTCGCACTCACCGCGCCGCGTCTCTCTCGCCACTCACACTCACCGTGCCGCGTCTCTCTCGCCACTCCCACTCACCGCGCCGCGTCTCTCTCGCCACTCACACTCACCGTGCCGCGTCTCTCTCGCCACTCACACTCACCGCGCCGCGTCTCTCTCGCCACTCACACTCACCGTGCCGCGTCTCTCTCGCCACTCGCACTCACCGCGCCGCGTCTCTCTCGCCACTCACACTCACCGTGCCGCGTCTCTCTCGCCACTCACACTCACCGCGCCGCGTCTCTTCTCGCCACTCACACTCACCGTGCCGCGTCTCTCTCGCCACTCACACTCACCGCGCCGCGTCTCTCTCGCCACTCACACTCACCGTGCCGCGTCTCTCTCGCCACTCACACTCACCGCGCCGCGTCTCTCTCGCCACTCACACTCACCGCGCCGCGTCTCTCTCGCCACTCACACTCACCGCGCCGCGTCTCTCTCGCCACTCACACTCACCGCGCCGCGTCTCTCTCGCCACTCGCACTCACCGCGCCGCGTCTCTCTCGCCACTCACACTCACCGTGCCGCGTCTCTCTCGCCACTCGCACTCACCGTGCCGCGTCTCTCTCTCCACTCACACTCACCGTGCCGCGTCTCTCTCGCCACTCACACTCACCGCGCCGCGTCTCTCTCTCCACTCACACTCACCGTGCCGCGTCTCTCTCTCTCTCTCCACTCACGCTCACCGTGACGCGTCTCTCTCCCTCTCTCTCACCACTCACGCTCACCGTGCCGCGTCTCTCTCTCTCCCTCGCCCCACCCCCCTCCCTGTGCCGTCGCCGCCGGCAGGAGGGCGTGGGCGACACCCCCAACTCGTACGCTTACGACGGCAACCGCGTGCGCAAGTGGAACGTCACCACCACCAACTACGGCAAGGTGGGCGTCCTCGCCTCTCCCTCTCTCTTCTCTCCCCTCTCTCATCTCCCCCCGAGCTACGAAGCTCGTTATTTTTTCACATGCCCTTTAGGGGCACGGCGGGGGGGGGGGTCATAACGTCACAAACAACATCAACGACGACAATCTCCCCTCTCTCCCCTCGCTCTGCTTTCCACGGTACTTGTGGTTTATATTTGTGGTGCGGTGTGGTATAATACCGTGCTGTGTATGTTGGGGTGTGGTGTGGTGCGGTGTGTGGGAGCGGTGATGCAGCGGTTAGCGTGCTGCGCTACGAACCCAGCGACCTGAGTTTTGTTCCCGCTCACGGCCAACACCAGTGACGATTATCTAAACCGGTCCTGGGGCTCTCCTAGGTCGACTCAGCCTCAAATGAGTACCCAATGTGATGTGTAAACATCACCACTGGGAAGACAAAGGCGGCCGGGCGTGGTGTTGGCCACCCACCCCCTCGTGTGCCGTGCCGGCCTTCATAGGTGCTCGCTGACGGCACTTGCCCCGACAGTCTGTTAAGGCTACACGGCATGCTGTGGCGTGTGCTATGTGGTGTGGTGCGTGGTGTGGTGTGTGGTGTGGTGTGTGGTGCGGTGTGTGGTGCGTGGTGTGTGGTGTGGTGTGTGGTGCGTGGTGTGTGGTGCGGTGTGTGGTGTGGTGTGTTGTGCGGAGTGTTGTGCGGAGTGTGGTGTGGTGTGTGGTGCGTGGGGTGGTGTGTGGCGTGGTGTGTGGTGCGTGGTGTGGTGTGTGGTGTGCGGTGTGGTGCGGTGTGTGGTGCGGTGTGTGGTGCGGTGTGGTGTGTGGTGCGGTGTGTGGTGCGGTGTGGTGTGTGGTGCGGTGTGTGGTGTGGTGTGTGGTGCGTGGGGTGGTGTGTGGGGTGGTGTGTGGTGCGGTGTGGTGTGTGGTGCGGTGTGCGGTGTGGTGCGGTGTGTGGTGCGGTGTGTGGTGCGGTGTGTGGTGCGGTGTGTGGTGTGGTGTGTGGTGTGGTGCGGTGTGTGGTGCGTGGTGTGGTGCGTGGTGTGGTGTGTGGTGCGGTGTGTGGTGTGCGGTGTGGTGTGGTGTGTGGTGCGGTGTGTGGTGCGGTGCGTGGTGCGGTGAGGTGTGTGGTGCGGTGTGTGGTGTGTGGTGCGGTGTGTGGTGCGTGGTGCGGTGCGTGGTGCGTGGTGTGGTGCGCGGTGTGGTGTGCGGTGTGGTGTGTGGTGTGGTGTGTGGTGCGGTGTGCGGCGTGCGGTGTGTGGTGCGGTGTGTGGTGTGGTGCGTGGTGTGGTGTGCGGTGTGGTGCGGTGTGTGGTGTGGTGTGTGGTGCGGTGTGTGGTGCGTGGTGTGGTGTGCGGTGTGGTGTGTGGTGTGCGGTGTGTGGTGTGCGGTGTGGTGTAGTGCGGTGTGTGGGGTGGTGCGGTGTGTGGTGTGGTGCGGTCTGTGGTGTGGTGCGGTGTGTGGTGCGTGGTGTGGTGTGCGGTGTGGTGTGGTGCGGTGTGTGGTGCGGTGTGTGGTGCGGAGTGTGGTGTGGTGTGTGGTGCGGTGTGTGGTGCGTGGTGTGGTGTGCGGTGTGGTGCGGTGTGTGGTGTGTGGTGCAGTGTGTGGGGTGCGGTGTGTGGTGTGTGGTACGGTGTGTGGTGTGGTGTGTGGTGCGGTGTGTGGTGCGGTGTGTGGTGCGGTGTGTGGGGTGGTGCGGTGTGTGGTGTGCGGTGTGGTGTGGTGCGGAGTGTGGTGTGGTGCGGTGTGTGTGCGGTGTGTGGGGTGGTGCGGTGTGTGGTGCGGTGTGTGGTGGGGTGCGTGGTGTGGTGTGCGGTGTGTGGTGTGTGGTGTGGTGTGTGGTGTGGTGTGGTGCGGTGTGTGGTGCGGTGTGTGGTGCGGTGTGTGGTATGTGGTGCGGTGTGTGGTGCGGTGTGGTGTGTGGTGCGGTGTGTGGTGCGGTGTGTGGTGTGTGTGGTGCGGTGTGTGGTGCGGTGTGTGGTGTGGTGTGGTGTGGTGTGTGGTGTGGTGTGGTGCGGTGTGTGGTGTGGTGCGGTGTGTGGTGTGTGGTGCGGTGTGTGGTGTGTGGTGCGGTGTGTGGTGCATGGTGTGATGTGTGGTGCGGTGTGTGGTGCGGTGTGTGGTGTGGTGCGGTGTGTGGGGTGGTGCGGTGTGTGGTGTGGTGCGGTGTGTGGTGCGGTGTGTGGTGCGGTGTGTGGTGCGGTGTGTGGTGCGGTGTGTGGTGCGGTGTGTGGTGCGGTATGTGGTGCGGTGTGTGGTGCGGTGCGTGGTGCGGTGTGTGGTGCGGTGCGTGGTGCGATGCGGTGTGTGGTGCAGTGTGTGGTGCGGTGTGGTGCGGTGTGTGGTGTGTGGTGTGGTGCGATGTGTGGTGCGGTGTGTGGTGCGGTGTGGTGCGGTGTGGTGTGTGGTGTGGTGCGGTGCGTGGTGCGGTGTGGTGTGTGGTGCGGTGCGTGGTGCGGTGTGTGGTGAGGTGTGTGGTGTGGTGCGGTGTGTGGTGCGGTGTGTGGTGTGCGGTGCGTGGTGCGGTGCGCGGTGCGGTGCGTGGTGCGGTGTGTGGTGAGGTGTGTGGTGTGGTGCGGTGCGTGGTGCAGTGTGTGGTGCGGTGTGTGGTGCGGTGTGTGGTGCGGTGTGTGGTGTGGTGCGGTGCGTGGTGCAGTGTATGCTGCGGCGTGCTGCGTCGTGGTTCTGTGTGCGATGCGGGGTGTGTGCTGTTGTGCGGTGTACAGCCGTGGGCGGCGGGCGACGTGGTCACGTGCCTCATCGACCTGGACGACGCCTCCATCTCCTTCTGCCTGTAAGTGCCGCGGCACCTCCGCTCACGGCGCCGGGCCCAGCGCCTCTCCCAGCCTCGCCGACGGGGACTTGCCCCAACAGCCCTCGCGAGGCTAGACGGCGGATCTTTGCCTCTGTGTTTATCGCGGGGTAGATGTAGCGGAGAGATGTGTAGCGCGGCGTGTGGTGAGGTGCCGGCTATCGCTTCACTGGCAAGTTCGGCGTAAATTGTACGTCCAGGTGTGAGTTTGTGAGCCGTGCGACTCGCACTGCCCAGTCCGCCCGAGAGCGGGCCGCGTGGAACACGGCGCCACGGTGGCTAGGAGATGTTGACTACCTCGCCTGGTATGCAGGAAGTCGTGGGTTCGATCCCGACCCTGACGCCTGCTGCATATTTGGAGTTTCCGTGTCTCTCTCCTCGTGGTCGAGTGGATTTTTCTTCGGGTCCTCCGCTTTTTCCGTCCATTTCGAAAAGCACGCATTTAGATTATTTGGCTCCTGCTTTACATTTTCCACGCGATAAGCCACCTCGTCGAGCTATCGTTTATGGCCAAGTTGCTTCTGACAAAGAGCTACATAGCTTAGTGGGTCTTACCTAGTAAAATAATAAATAGTTCAGTTTTAGTTTAGAACGCAGTCGTTGGCGATGTACTCCACCGTGTGTTTCGGGTGGCCACAGTCACGGCACTCTGGGTCGCCATCTTCTTCAAACCTTTCCCGTCCCGACACGTCTGCAAGTTGCCGCGGGGTGTGGGCTTTCCCGTTCACCGCCACATCTCGGAACGCGCAAGCGGCTCGGCGTAAATTGTATTGAGAGAGGCGTAGTAGACGTCGCTTCTCACCGCGGAGAACCGGAGCAACACGACCGCCAAACTGTGCCGCAAACGGCCCTTCCAGGTGGCCTAGTTATTTTATCAAGTTCTTCTGCTTTTGTTCCGATGACGATTAACCCTTCCTCGTTTCAATCATGTACGTCATCGGAACGGAGGAGGGTTAATCTCCCACTCGTGGACGCGTCGCGGTGCAGCGGGCGAGCGATCACCGTTCCGCAGTCGTTGGCGGTTGAGCCACCGCGGTGGTCTCGGCAGAACTGGCGGCGTGCCGTCTCGGCAGAACCGGCGGCGTGCCGTCTCGGCAGAACCGACTGCGTGCCGTCTCGGCAGAACCGACGGCGTGCCGTCTCGGCAGAACCGACGGCGTGCCGTCTCGGCAGAACCGACGGCGTGCCGAGCAGCGGCGGGGCACTTTGACGAACCTCGGCGGCGGAACTCCAATTGTCTCGCACGGCGATCCCGGATTGTTTTTCTGGGATCCCGGGCGAGTTTGTAGTCTCGGCGTGCCACGGGGGGTTTGTGCCGCGCTCCCTCCCGAGTTCTCCCGGGGTGGCTTGACGTCGCTGGGAGATGGTGGCCGTCACGTGGGCCCAAGCCTTGAGCGTCTCGTCGCACGACTAATGCCATCGCTTGAGCCATTTTCGAAATCGTATAAACCGAACTGAAGTTGTTTTTTTGTTTCACCACTGAGAGCTGCTTTCCTAGCTCGTTTTCAGAAGCCACGTGGCCATCACAAACGACGGCTCGCACGAAGTGGCGTCACTCATCGCGTGGGAGTTTTCAGCGGCAGCGAAATACTCTCAAGCGCACGTTTTGTCCACGATTCCACGTGTGAACGTTCTACGCGGTCCGCCTCCCTCTGGCTCTCCCGCAGCAATGGGCTGTCCATGGGCGTCGCGTTCCCCGATGTGCGGCTGGGCCCGGGCTGTGCCTACTTCCCCGCCATCAGCCTCTCCTTCCGCGAGAACGTCTCCTTCAACTTCGGCAGCCGCCCGCTGAGATATCCTCTCTCGTCTTCTCTCTCGCGCACACGCGGACAAAGGGACAAAGGGTCTGTGTGTGGGGGAGGGCATTGTGCTGTTAGAGAGCGGCCCACAGAGGTGGATACCACAGAGCTACCTCTGAGATCCTGTCAAGTGACCTTTGGTCTACCCAATTTTCACGAATCCCAGAGCTGGAACTGAGCTACTTTAAGTGCAGACCCAAATTTAAGGTTCTTCTATTTTTTTTTAAACATTCTTTGGGAACCGGACTGGGACCATCAACTCCGCTGCTACCCTTTAAGGAGCCGATGCAATCGCAGCCCAGCCAGTGAGAGACCTCCACATTTGTGGAGGTCTCTCTGTAAGTCTATGGGTCTCCGTGTAACTCCATGGCTCTCCAGGTGAGTTGTGTGAGGAGTCTCTGTCGGAGTAACCGGGATGAGACCAGTCGGCTCACTACACTCGAGGATACGGTGAATTTGGTTTGCCCCTCCCCTCCTCGAGCACCTCCGATTAACCCGGTTGGCTAGGTATGGTGCGAAAGAAGGTCAACATATGTACGTACACACGTGCGTTAAAATTCACTTCGGTTGAAACCCAGATTGGGACCCCGGGTGTTATTTAAAAATTAATTTATTTGTATCTTTGCCAGGTAAGGCCCCACTGACATATGTAGCTCTTTTTCAGAAGCGACCTGGATATCACAAATGATAATGAAGTGGCTTCATCATCACGTGGCAATTCATAGCAGCCAAATACTCTCAACGCGTGGTGACGTTGACTCTAAATGTGGAGGGGAAAAAACCGGAGGACCCAGAGAAAAATCCACGCGACCACGGGGAGAGGAAAGACGCACACTCCAAATATACAGGCGCCAGGATCGGGGTCGAACCCACGAGCTCCTGTCTACCAGGAGAGGTAGTTAATGTCTCGCCACCATGTAAGCTCCATGTGAGCTCCAGATATCGAGGTGTCAGGGTCAGGATCGAACCCACGCCACCGTGGTGACCCCGGTAGTGCCCACGGTGGCGAGATGTTGGCAGAGCCGGCTGGGTGCTGTCACCTCCGTGGCGGCGGCGGCCGCCCCCACCACGCCATGCGGCCCACCTCGCCACGCGCCGCGGTCCCCCTGGACGCGTTGACGGGACGAGTCCTTGACCCCGCGTCCACGTACCCCGTGGAGGGTTACCGGCCCCTGCAGGACCCCCCGACCATCGACCTCATGCAGGCGCAGAAGCTCATGGGATACTTCCAGGTCGCCATGGAGACGTGGATCGACCCCAGGGTGAGTGGCGCACCCTCGCCCCCTGTGCGTACGTGCGTGCGTCTGTGTGCGGTGCGTGCACCTAGCCTGGCACAAGCGTGGTGGTGATGTCACTGCCACGTTGGCAAACGGTTGTGGTTGCTAGGTGTGTCATGCAGCGGTTAGTGCGGTGCACTACGGACCCGGCCAACACCAGTGACGATCATCTGAACGGGTCCCGGGCCGAATAAGTACCTGGTGCGGTGTGTAAATATCGCCAAAGGGGAGACAAAGGTGGCCGGGCGTGGTGGTGCTCGGCCACCCACTCCCTCGTGTGCCGTGCCGGTCCCCGTAGGCGCTCGCGAGCAGCACTTGCCCCGACAGTCTGCCAGGCCACACGACGGATCTTTGTCGTGCGTGTGCCGATTTGGCAACATCAGAAGAGCGCACACAGGTGGTGCGCCTGCCAATCGTCTCGGTCAGTCATCCCACAGCGCCTGGGTCTGTCCCGTGACCTCCTGCCAGCCACAGAATCTTCCACACTTCAAAAGTCAAAGTACACCTAGCCTGGTGGTGACGTCACCGTCACTCGGTAGCGAATGGCGGCTGTTGTCGTCGTGTGATCTGCTTGGCGAATGCCGGGGGAGCGTTGGGTGACCCCCCCCCAAACCCCCCCGCCCTTCCCCCCTCTGCCGCCCCTCGTGCCCCTCCGCTCCCCGTCCGCCCCTCTACTCATGCCCCCCCCCGCCTCTCGTTCCCACTCACACACCCCCCCCACACCCCCCCCACACCCCCTCCCCACCCCCGTTGCCCCCCCAGGACGGGAGGGTGGTGTCGCGCGAGGACTCGCGGAGTCTGTCGCGAGGGGACGCCGCCACCACCTTCCTCCTCGCCGCCGTGCACGTCTTCCACAAGCTCGCACCGCTGCTGGTGCGTGCACGCCTCTACACGGCGGGGGGCATGGGGAGAGAGTGGGGGTGGGGGGCTGGGAGAGAGGGGAGTGTGGGGATAGAGTTTGGAGAGGGAGGGTGGGGGCGTGGAGAGAAATAGCAGGGGGGCTGGGAGATAGGGGGGTGTGAGGATAGAGTTTGGGGAGAGGGGGGGGGAGCGGGGAGAGGTTGTGGAGAGAGCGGGAGAGTGAGTGAGGTTACTTTGCTCGCCGTGTGATTTTTTTACGAGCAGATAAACTTGGGGCCCATTGAGCTGCCGCCACCGCGCCTGGCCAAGTTTCCGTGCGATGCAATCCTTGAGAAATAAATGAAAAACCTTGATTATGAATAATGTTGGCCGCCCGCCTTCCCTCCCCCGCGGCAGGCCAAGGCCTACGTGGTGGACGAGGTGCTCCTCAAGTTCCTGCTCAGCCTGCAGACGCGGGCCTCGGGCTCCGTCGCCACGGAGACGCCGGCCATCTTGCACACGCTGGACCTGCTGTGGGCCCTGCTGGAGGTGCGCCTCTCCCGCTCGCCCCCCCCACCCCCCCCCCCCCCCCGTTACCGTTTGCGTTTCACCTCGCCGCCGTCTTGGCGCATCGTTGTCGTTTCGTCGCTGCCCTGGCGTGGTGGGGGGTGGGGCGGGCGGACGACTTGGGCAGGCCTTCATCGAGCAGTGGATCGATCGTGGACGACGACGATGTTGTCGGGGTGTAACGATTCACCCGACTCGCGCGGCGATCGAGAGTCGCGTTCGCGGTTTCACATCGGCAACGCCTCCACGTGCGGCAGGTCCGCTCGCTCGGTCCGCTGCCGGAAGAGGGCCTCGCCGTGCCACGCGTGGTCACGGTTGTTCACGCGACCGTGCTTCGCCACGCTGGCCAGCGGGGATTGATAGTGGAGTAGCGGTCTCGCAGATCGGCCCCGCAGGGGTGCTTTCCTGCCGGCGCCTCCCTGCGCGTCCCTCCGGGCGGCCATCGCGATCGTTGTCGGCGCATCTGTGCGCGCGCGCCTGCGCGTGTGCGTGTCTGTGCCCTGGTGCTCAACTCGTGACCCTCCACGCCCCACTCCTCCTCGTGCCTCCCTCCCCCCACACCTTCGATTCTCTTCTTGAGGCGCTGGCGACGCGGCCGGGGGCGGTCGCGGTTCGAGCGCACCGGTGAATGAACCGCGGCGCACTCGTGTGCCGAGCCGTTAGCCGAGCGCGCGCCGCACGCCCCGCTTGCTTCACGGCCGCAGATCCCCCGCGGCCGTAAGCGAGCAGCAGGCCGCGTGGCGTCGCGCTCGCACGTTTCGATGAGCGACTGCCATCGTACCGCCTAATTGGGAGCGCCAAACACCACGGACATCGGCCCCTACTGGCGGACCGATGCCCTTGCCCCGTGGTGTCGGCGCCGCCTCCGCCATCGGCTGAAAAGACAAACGGACAGCCGTGCTGAGACGCGAGAACGTGGGGGGCCTTGGGGGGGCGTGAGGGGCAGTGGGAGCGGCGGCACGCGACTCACAGCTCCCCCATTCCTCCCGCCCGCAGGAGTTTGAGGTGCACAGCTGCCTGAAACAGCTGATGATGACGCTGCTGCGAGCCTTCCGCTTCTCCCCCGTGACGCCCGACATGACGCCCCAGGTACCCCCAGCGCCGGCATCGCCGCCGCCGTGCTGACATCGCCGCCGCCGGCACCACCTCGGCCCCACCGGCACCACCTCGCCGCCGCCGCGCGAGTCCGGGCCTCGCGCTTGCCGAGCCCATTGGACAATCGTAAACTCAGAATGAGAAATCAGTTATTTAGAGCGCAGGTGGGGATCCGATGAGCTACGGAGCTCTTTTTCGCAGATGTCAGCGAGTTACATCAACACGAAAACCGATAGAGAAGAGGCAAGCAAGTCACTAAACATAATGAAAGTATACACGAAGTACAAATTGCACTCGTTAATAAATTCCTGCCGATTTGCCAACACCAAATGTAAGCTTGGGGCAAGGCAGCAAAATAACGACAACAACAACAACAGTCCCAGACCACACCAGGACAACAACACACGGTCCCCCGGTTAAATTGCACGTGAAAATGTAACTCCCGATACACGCGCCAGGTTCAAAGTTACAAATCGCATTTGGCAAATGTGTCTGTAACCAGCACTAATCTTGGGTCAGAATGCTGTACGTGATTTGATCTCTATGGGGATATAATATATATTTCTACCGCGTTCTGACCCCAGGGACGTTCAAATTCTGTGGGTTCAAAACACCGCCTCGCACCGATGCCGCTGAGAGCCTGGGTTCGAGTCCGGGTTCGAGACGCCCCTGATTGCACCGCACCTTTCAGATGTTGTTCCGCCACTGTTACAGATCCAGCACCTGCGCCTCGTCCTCGCCATCCTCAAGCACGAGAAGTCACGGAAGTTCCTCCTCGGCAACGTCCTATATCCCTCGCTAGCGCGCGCAGCCACGCACCCCACACCACACCGCGTCACGCCACACCGCCACGCACCCCACACCACGCAACACCACCCACGCCACACAGCACCACGGCATGCCACATCGCCACCGCAACGCGCCACGCACGCCACACCGCGCCACGCACGCCACACCACGCTAGCCACGACACCAGTCAGCTAGGTGTGTTTGCATCAACTCTGCCGGTATCGTGATCGACACACAAACACACATATACACACACACATACATACACACATACACGCACACACATACACACATACACACACATACACGCACACAAAAACTAAGACAAAGATCCCTCTTATAGCCTTATAACAGACTGTCAGGGCAAGTCCTGTTAGTGAGTACCTATGAAGGCCGGAATGGTACACGAGGGGGTGGGTGGACAGCACCATGCCCGACCGCCTTTGGCTCCCAAGTGGCGATGTTTACACACCGCACCAGGTACTCATTTGAGGCTGAGTCAACCTAGGGGAGGCACAGAACCCATTCAGAGATACGTCACTGGTGTTGGCCTTGAGCAGGAATCGAGCCCGGGTCGCCGGGTTCATAGAGCAGCGCGCTAACCGCTACACTACCGCTCCCCACTATACACACACACATATACACACACACATACACACACACACATACAAACACATACACACACATACACACACATACACACATATACACACACACATATACACACATATACACACACACACATATACACACATATACACACACACATACACACACACACATACACACACATACACACACATACACACACATACACACATATACACACACACATATACACACATATACACACACACACATATACACACATATACACACACACATACACACACATACACAATGTAAGCCACACGGACTGTTGGGGCAAGTGCTGTTAGCGAGTAGCAGCACCTATGAAGGCCGACACGGCACACGAGGGGGTGCTGGACAGCCACCTCGCCCGGCCGCCTTTCTCTCCCCAACGGAGACTTTTACACACCGCACCGGGTGCTTGAGGCCGAGTCGACCTAGGGGTGGACCGGTTCAGATGACGGTTTACGGATCCTTGACGCGCGCACGTTCGACGTGATGCGCTTCGTGGTGTTCTGCAACGTGAAGACGCCGCTGCGCGTGGAGGAGGCCGGACTCGACGAGACCATCCCCGTCACCTGGTGGCCCACGCAACTCCAGCAGCAGCAGCAGCAGCAGGTTGGCGGGGGGGCGGGCGGGCGAGGGGGCGCGTGAGAAAGTAAAGTGGTTGAGTGATAAGCGAGCGAGCGTGTGGGTAAGTGACTGAGTGGGTGAGTGAGCGAGCGTGCGGGCGGCTAAGTGACCGAGTGGGCGGGTGAGAAAGTAAGGGAGTGGGTGAGCGAGCGTGTGGTTGAGTGAGCGAGTGGTTGAGTGAGTGGGTAAGCCAGCGTGTGCTTGGGTGAGTCAGTGGGTGGGTGAGCAAACCTGTGTGTGGGTGAGTGAGTGAGGAAGCAAGTACTGGGGAGCCAAAGGCGGTCGGGCGTGGTGGTGCCGGTCACCCACCCCCTCGTGCGTCGTTCCGGCCTTCGCAGCGCTTGCCCCAGCAGCCTGTTCAGACTACACGGGGGATCTTTGTCTTTGTGTGCGTCCCGGCCTCCCCGTGCAGGGCAGCAGGGAGGAGGCGGAGGAGAGCGCCGAGGAGCGGCACAAGCGGCGATCGTACGAGCGCGGCTGCCAGCGCCTCAAGAAGAGAATAGAAGGTGGGGGGGAGGGAGGCACGGAGTGGGGGACGGACGTGGAGAGTCAAGAGTTGAGCACCAGGGCACAGACACGCACGCACAGAAACGCAGACACGCACGCACAGAAACGCAGACGCCCACGCAGAGACGCGCATGCACAGACGCCCACGCACAGACGCCCACGCACAGACGCCCCGCACAGACGCGCACGCACAGACGCGCACGCACAGACGCCCACGCACAGACACCCACGCACAGACGCCCCGCACAGACGCGCACGCACAGACGCGCACGCACAGACGCCCACGCACAGACGCCCACGCACACGACGCCCACGCACAGACGCCCACGCACAGACGCCCACGCACAGACGCCCACGCACAGACGCCCACGCACAGACGCCCACGCACAGACGCCCACGCACAGACGCCACACACAGAAACCCAGACGCGCACGCACAGACACGTGTGCCCGGTGCTGATGTTTAGTCACCGCACCAGGTGCTCGTTTAAGGCTGAGTCGACCCAGGGGAGACCCAGTGGTGGTGGTGATAACGCCCGTCCCGTGCGTCTCCCCCCCCCAGTGGTCGAGGACCTGCAGGTGGCCATCCTCAAGCTGCTGCTCAACAACAAAGACAAGAACTCGGTGAGGCCTGCGCCACGGGGGCCCCACACGCATGCACACAAAGACAAAGGTCCCCCGCGTAGCCTCAGCAGACTTGTGGGGCAAGTGCTGTTAGCGAGCACGGCACACGACCCCCCCATGGCGATGTTTACACGTCGCAAGCGGGTGCTCATTTGAGGCTGAGTTGACCTTGGGAAGGTCCAGGATCGGTTCAGATATTCTTCACTGGGGTTGGCCTTGAGCGGGAATCGAACTCGGGTCGTTCGGCGCGTAGCGCAGTGCGCTAACTGCGACAAACACACACTCAGAAGCCCACACGTGCAGCGGCGTGGCACAGACACGGAGTTGGCTAAACCTCAATCAAGAACCGATGAAGGGCGCCCAGCGGGATGAGTTTGCAAGGCTACCGCGGAGATGGAGCGGTGAAATCGGCCGGATCGATCAATCGCTAGACCGTGAGGGATGGGTCCCTGTGTGAGTCTATGGGTCCCTGTGTGAGTCTATGGGTCCCTATGGGTCCCTGTGTGAGCCTATGGGTCTCTGTGTGAGTCTATGGGTCTCTGTGTGAGTCTATGGGTCTCTGTGTGAGTCTATGGGTCTCTGTGTGAGTCTGTGTATCTCTGTGTGAGTCTATGAGGCTCTGCGTGAGTCTATGGGTCTCTGTGTGAGTTTATGAGGCTCTGTGTGAGTCTATGGGTCTCTGTGTGAGTGCCGTTGGCGAGCGTTGTAGTTGTTGTTGTCTTGCAGCAGGGGGAAGCCTCGCGCTACATCTTCCTGTCCAAGTTGAGGAAGTTCCTGCAGGAGAACGCCTCCAACAGGGTGAGCGGTCAGCACCCCACACCACCACCCACCCACCCGGCACCACCACCACCCACCTACCCGGCACCACCACCACCCACCTACCCGGCACCACCACCACCCACCCACCCGGCACCCCACACCACCACCCACCCACCCACCTGGCACCCCTCACCACCACCCATCCACCCACCCGGCACCTCACACCACCACCTACCCACCCACCCGGAACCCCTCACCACCACCCACCCACCCACCCTGCACCCCACACCACCACCCACCCACCCGGCACCCCACACCACCACCCACCCACCCGGCACCTCACACCACCACCCACCCACCCACCCGGAACCCCTCACCACCACCCGGAACCCCTCACCACCACCCACCCACCCGGCACCCCTCACCACCACCCACCCACCCGGCACCCCTCACCACCACCCACCCTGCACCCCACACCACCACCCACCCACCCGGCACCCCACACCACCACCCACCCACCCAGCACCCCTCACCACCACCCACCCACCCGGCACCCCTCACCACCACCCAGCCACCCACCCTGCACCCCACACCACCACCCACCCACCCGGCACCCCACACCACCACCCACCCACCCGGCACCACACACCACCACCCACCCACCCGGCACCACACACCACCACCCACCCACCCGGCACCTCACACCACCACCCACCCACCGGCACCCCACACCACCACCCACCCACCCGGCACCTCACACCACCACCCACCCACCCGGCACCCCTCACCACCACCCACCCACCCACCGAGCACCCCACACCACCACCCACCCACCCGGCACCCCACACCACCACCCACCCACCCACACCACCACCCACCCACCCGGCACCCCTCACCACCACCCACCCACCCACCGAGCACCCCACACCAGCACCCACCTCACACCACCACCCACCCACCCACCCGGCACCCCACAGCACCCAGCACCCCACACCACCACCCACCCACCCGGCACCCCACACCACCACCCACCCACCCGGCACCCCACACCACCACCCACCCACCCGGCACCCCACACCACCACCCACCCACCCCACACCACCACCCCCACCCACCCGACACCCCACACCACCGCCCACCCACCCACCCACCCGCACCCCACACCACCGCCCACCCACCCACCCAGCACCCCACACCACCACCCACCCACCCACCCGGCACCCCACACCACCACCCACCCACCCGGCACCCCACACCACCACCCACCCACCCGACACCCCACACCACCGCCCACCCACCCACCCAGCACCCCACACCACCACCCACCCCACACCACCCACCCACCCACCCGGTACCCCACACCACCACCCACCCACCCACCCAGCACTCCACACCACCACCCACCCCACACCACCACCCACCCACCCGGCACCCCACACCACCACCCACCCACCCACCCAGCACCCCACACCACCACCCACCCACCCCACACCACCACCCACCCACCCACCCGACACCCTACACCACCGCCCACCCACCCACCCGGCACCCACACCACCACCACCCACACCACACCACCACCCACCCACCCACCCAGCACCCCACACCACCACCCACCCACCCGACACCCCACACCACCGCCCACCCACCCACCCACCCACCCGGCACCCCACACCACCACCACCCACCCACCCAGCACCCCACACCACCACCACCCACCCACCCGGCACCCCACACCACCACCCCACCCACCCGGCACCCCACACCACCACCCACCCACCCACCCGACACCACCACCCACCCACCCACCCAGCACCCCACACCACCACCCACCCCACACCACCCACCACACACCACCACCCACCCACCCGGCACCCCACAACACCACCCACCCACCCAGCACCCACACCACCACCCACCCCACACCACCCACCCACCCGGTACCCCACACCACCACCCACCCACCCGGCACCCCACACCACCACCCACCCACCCCACACCACCACCCACCCACCCACCCGGCACCCCACACCACCGCCCACCCACCCACCGAGCACCCCACACCACCACCCACCTCACACCACCCACCCACCCACCCGGTACCCCACACCACCACCCACCCGGCACCCCACACCACCACCCACCCACCCGGCACCCCACACCACCACCACCCACCCACCCAGCACTCCACACCACCACCCACCCACCCCACACCACCACCCACCCACCCGGCACCCCACACCACCACCCACCCACCCAGCACCCCACACCACCACCCACCCCACACCACCCACCCGGTACCCCACCCCACCACCCACCCACCCGCCACCCCACACCACCACCCACCCACCCACCCGGCACCCCACACCACCGCCCACCCACCCACCCAGCACCCACACCACCACCCACCCCACACCACCCACCCACCCGGTACCCCACACCACCACCCACCCGGCACCCCACACCACCACCCACCCGGCGTTGTCTTTGCTGCCGTGCGGTGGCGCTCGCCGGCGTCCGCGGGGCTGACTCTGAGCGCTGTCGCACGCAGAACCCCACCATGCTGTGCCCCCCCGAGTACATGCTGTGCTTCATGCACCGGCTCATCACCGCGCTGCGGAGCTGCTGGGACGGGCACCGGCAGCGCAGCGCCCATGCGCAGCCCAGCGAGGGTAACGCACGGCACACGCAACACGCACACTCGCTCTCACACACTCGCTCTCACACACTCGCTCTCACACACTCGCACACACACTCACTCTCACACACACACTCGTCACACACTCGCACACACGCTCTCACACACTCGCACACACACGCTCTCACACACTCGCTCTCATACACTCGCACACACACGCTCTCACACACTCGCTCCCACACACTCGCTCTCACACACTCGCACACACTCACTCTCACATACTCGCACACACACGCCCTCACACACGCTCTCACACACTCGCACACACACACACTCTCACACACGCACGGCACACGCAACACGCACACTCGCACACACACGCTCTCACACACTCGCACACACACGCCCTCACACACACGCACACACTCGCTCTCACACACTCGCTCTCACACACTCGCTCTCACACACTTGCTCTCACACACTCGCTCTCACACTCGCTCGCACACACTCGCTCGCATACACACGCTCTCACACACTCGCTCTCACACTCACATGGCACACGCAACACGCACACTCGCACACACACGGCACACGCAACACTCACACTCGCACACACACGCTCTCACACACGCACGGCACACGCAACACACACATACGCACACACACGGTACACGCAATACACACACTCGCACACACGCTCTCACACACGCACGGCACACGCACACTCGCACACACGCTCTCACACACGCACGGCACACGCAACACACACATACGCACACACACGGCACACGCAACACACACACTTGCACACACACGCTCTCACACACGCACGGCACACGCAACATGCACACTCGCACACACACTCTCACACACGCACGGCACACGCAACACACACATACGCACACACACGGCACACGCACACTCGCACACACACGCTCTCACACATGCACGGCACACGCAACACGCACATACGCACACGCACACTTCCACACACACGCCTTCACACACGCACGGCACACGCAACACGCACACGCACGGCACACGCACACTCGCACACACACACGCCTTCACACACGCACGGCACACTCACGCGCACAACTCACGCGCCGCTATTGCGCGCGCAGCACAGCAGGGGGGGTTGTGCGCCCACAGACTCTCGCGATGCACGCGGCGTCCGGTGACTCCGGCGCCAATCGCTCGGCCGGAGGAAAACGATAAAAAATAAGCGGCGTCCAGCGACGGGGCGGTGCCTCGGGCGGCGATGGGCAAGCCCGGCCTCTCGCGGTTTAGCCGTCCGGCGCGAGGCCGGCGGAGCCGAGCTCGCGGGACGCGACCCCCCCGACCCGTGACCTCTCGCCCCCCCCCCCCTCCCCCCGCAGAAGCGTACGTGCCCCCGCAGCTCTTCTACAACGGCAAGGTGGACTACTTCGACCTGCAGCGGCTCGGCGGCCTCATCACCCACCTCAAGAAGACGCTCAAAGGCAAGGGGCTCCGACCCGCGCTCCTCTCGCGCGACCTCCCTTGACGCGCGTCGCTCGTCCCGCGTCGTGGCCGCGGCTTGGCTTCTAACCCGCGTCGTGACGCGCGCGTCGTGTGTGACACGTGGTGGCGTCTGTTGTGACGCACGCGTCGTGTCGTTGCGTCGCGTATCGTGACGCGTGTCGTTGCGTGTCGTGCCGCGTGTAGACGACCTGGCGGCGGTCGGCGTGACGGTGGAGGCCGCCGAGCTGAGCCCCGTCTCCATGGACGACCTGGACGACGTGGAGGAGGCCGGCCTCGGCCTGCCGGTAACGAGGCGCGCGGGCGGCATCGGCGACATCGGCGCCAACGGCGCAGCGGCGGTTCGTAGTTGGCGGTCGCCCCCCTGCTGCGCTGTCACCGCAGCGCCGCTGCACCGTACCTCGAGCAGCGGTGCATTTCTCCGCCGACTGTGCCCACGGGCGTCGCGCCACGGCGCGGTGAATCCGTGCGGCTCCGTCGCGGTGCGGCGCAAAGTCTCCGTCTTAGGGAGCCGCCCGCGGTTGCGGATACCGCAGAACTTACCGCCGAGATCCCTTCCAAGTGATCTCGACTGTAGCACTTTTCCCACCCACTCTGCCGTGTGAGAGTTATGTTCTTCGCATGGCGTTATAACCGATATTGTAATTCTCAGAGCTGGAATTTAACCGAATTAAGTAATACGTGACCGGGCCTAGGGCATCGACTCACCGCACGTGAGAGCCCGGTGCTTTAATCACGGGCAGCGGAGTCAAACCCAGGGTTTCAACTTTGACCTCTGAGCCACCAGGGACACCTCCATCTAGGTGTGATGATGCTGACCAGGTGTGATGCACAGGTGTGACACGGCCAGGCATGATGCGGTTGGGTGTGATGATGCTGACCAGGTGTGATGCACAGGTGTGATGCACAGGTGTGACACGGCCAGGCATGATGCGGTTGGGTGTGATGATGCTGGCCAGGTGTGATGCACAGGTGTGATGCACAGGTGTGATGCAACTTTTGCGACGCGGCCGGGAGCCACGCGGTTGTGGCGTGACGATGCCGACCAGCTGGCCGCCGCTGGGCGTACGGAATGGGGTCGTGTGGAGTCGAGTGGAGCGCCAGGCTGCGCGAGTAATCCAACGCGGCTAAACACAGCTGCTGCTGTTGCTGCTGCTGCGGATGCCATCTATATTCGGCTCGGAACTCTTTGTGCCACTCCGAATGGAGACCGGCTGCGGAGACGTCACGCTGGCGGTTGGCGCGCCGCACCACTAACCCCGGCGACCCCGTTTCCGTTCCCCGCGACGGCTCGACGCCGGCGGCGAGCGCCCCCCCTCCCCCGCCCGCCCGCCCGCCCAGACACCGGTCGTGGATTGGCAAAGGGGGGCTGTAGGGTGCCGCTTGGTTCTGTGAGTCGCGAGGCGCTCTCCACCGTGACCTTGACCCCCGCTTCTTCCCAGAGGCGGTCAACTCCGCAGCCTGTGTTTGAGCGTCCGATACCGCTCGCGCGACCTGTTCAGGCCCCATCCCGCTACCTGTCCTCATTTCCCGCATTGGGGTGACTCTCCGCCGCCTCTGCAAAGCGTGGACGAGTCGGCACGTCCACCAGCAGCGGGTCGAGCGAGCAATTGCAGGGCTATGCCTGTACCTTTTTATTTCTAATCAATTCGAGGTCCGATCAGCTTTCAAACTCGGTAAAAAAAATTGGTTTAACAATCAGCAGCCTAGAAGGGAAATAATAAAATAATTAAAATAAAAAGCCAGCGTCTGAATGCTGTCTTTTCGACAGACCTGTTCTTCACCTGAGGACGGCTGCTTGCGTTGTGGCCGAAACGTTGTGAGAATTGTATTTTATTGTTTAAATTTTATTATTTTATTATTTTTCTTTTACGTGACTTTACCGAAAGAACCAAGAAGATGAATCCCTGCAGTCAATCAGCAGCCTGCCGCTTAAATTGGCGGGTGATTTGGTGCGGTAATGCCGGCGTGACCCTCTCTTTCGAAACTCTCTTTCCTCGACCCCTGACCTCTCTCCCTCGACCCCCGACCTCCCTCCCCCGACCCCCAAACTCTCTACCCCGACCCTGCCGCGGGGCCTGCAGCAGGCCGCGCGCCTCGGCATGTCGATGTTCCGCGGAGGGCTGCTGCCGAACCCCATCGGCGGGGCGGCCGCCCCTATTCTGAGCGCGGCCTCGGCGGCCCTGGCGGCTAGGCGAGCCCCGGGCTTCGCGAGGCCCCGCCAGGCCACGACGGAGATGGAGCAGCGCACGGAGGAGGAGGGTGAGTGGCGGCGGCGGCGGCGGCACCCCGGATCAGAGGAGTGGAGGTGACGAAGTCCACTCCGTGTTTATCCGGTTCCCGGTGATGACGCGTTCAGGTGGATTTATTGGCAAAATAGAATGCGCCGGCAGTTGGCTAAACTCCTAAAACTATTTATATTTTACCAGGTAAGGCCCCAGTGAGCTGTGTAGTTTTTGTCGGAAGTGGTCACCTGGCTATCACACATGACGGCTCGACGAAGTGGCTGATCATAGCAGCCAAATACTCTAAAAACTCCAATTAGCACGGTTGGCTACATACAGTGCGAAAGAAGTTCAACATACATACACACACATGCGTGCTTCTTACAGTGAGGTCCTCAGGCTCTCATCCAGAGACTCATAGACTCACACAGAGACCCACGGACTTCAACAAGGCTCACAGACTCGGAGACCAGTTGGTTCGGATCGGCGGCACGCGGCATCACCGCGTGCCGTACGCGCATCTACGCTCGTTCACCGCGTGCGTGCACATGCGTGCGTGTACGTGCGTGCATTCTGGCGTGCGCGTGGGTCGCTGGCGCGCGCATGCGCTCATACGCCTCCGCTGTCCGTTGGGCGTGGTCAGTCGAGACGGGCGTTCTGCACGGACGCCCGATCACGGAGGCCGAGGACCCGCCCGGCGACCACTCGCTCATCGAGATCCTCGACGGCATCGTGATGATGTACAGCATGAGCGTGCACCAGCAGCTGGGCAAGGTGCGCACGCACTAACACACGTGGATTCACACACGCACGAACACAAACGGATGCGCGCGCCTTTACCCACGCACGCGCAAGCACTAACACACATGGATATGCATGCGCGCACATCGCAAGGATATGCATGGATATACACGCATGCACACACGTGGATACACACGTACATACATCCACGCACACGTGTATATGCATGCACGTGCACTTGGATACGCACACACACACACATGGATACGCACACATGCACACACACGCACATGGATAGGCACACAGATGAAGGTCCCCCTCTATAGCCTGAACAGACTGTTAGGGCTGTTAGCCAGCATCTCTGAAGACCGGCACGGTATATGACTCGGTGGGTGGCCAGCACCAAGTTCGACCGCCTACATCTCCCCAGTGACGATGTTTACACGCCGCACCAGGTATTAATTTGAGGCTGAGTCGACCTAGGGGATGCCCAAAATACCACTGATGTGAGCCGTGGGCGTCGTGTTGCTCTGTGCGACGGCGTGGGCAGATGGTGGGCGTGTCGGACGACGTGCGGGAGTTTGCCGTGGCGCTGAGGGAGACGGAGGAGAAGATCGCGCGGTGCCCACCGCAGGTAGCGGCACCGTCGTGCTGACACGCACACAGCACCGTAGTGCGTGGCACCCACGTGGCACCCACGTGGCACGCACACGGCACCCATACGGCACCCGCGTGGCACCCGCACGGCACCCGCACGGCACCCGCACGGCACCCGCGCGGCACCCGCGCGGCACCCACGTGGCACCCACGTGGCACGCACATGGCACCCACGTGGCGCCCACACGACACCCACGTGGCACGCACATGGCACCCACACGGCACCCACGTGGCACCGACGTGGCACGCACACGGCACCCGCGTGGCACCCACGTGGCACGCACATGGCACCCACACGGCACCCGCACGGCACCCACACGGCACCCGCACGGCGCCCGCGTGACACCCGCACGGCGCCCGCGTGGTGCCCGTGTGCCGCTGGGCCGCGTCACCGACAATAATCGACTGAATGGACGAATCGTCCGGTCTGTCGTTTGAAGCCTGCTCGTGTAGCCAGCGTGCGCGCGTGTGTTTGCGCGCGTGTATGTATGTATTTGCGTCTCTGCGTGTGTGCGCGTGTGTGCACCTGGCCTGGCACAAGCGCCGTGGTGACGTCACCGCTCCTAATGCCGGTGCCTCCCTTCGTGCCGCCCTGCCCCCCATGCCACCCCCATCCTAGCGGCGCGACGTGCTGGAGGAGCTCCAGCGCAGCCGGGACGTCTTCCTGGACAAGCTGAACCAGCTGAGCCGGCGCCTGGCGTGGATCAACACGACCATCTACTCGCAGGTGTGGACGCCACCGCCACCGTTTCCCATCGCGTGCCCTGTACCACGTGCCCTGTACCGCGTGCCCTGTACCGCGTGCCCTGTACCGCGTGCCCTGTACCGCGTGTCGTGCACCGCGCGTTCTCTTCTCGGTAACCTGCACCAAGTCTCACTGGTGTACTGGCTGACGTGTACTTCTGTGTACTGCCTGTAGGAGCGACTGCGTGACGTGTATTGCTGTGTACTGCCTGTAGGAGCGACTGCGTGACGTGTACTGCTGTGTACTGCCTGTAGGAGCGACTGTGTGACGTGTACTGCTGTGTACTGGCTGTAGGAGCGACTGTGTGGCGTGTACTGCTGTGTACTGCCTGTAGGAGCGACTGCGTGACATGTACTGCTGTGTACTGGCTGTAGGAGCGACTGTGTGACGTGTACTGCTGTGTACTGCCTGTAGGAGCGACTGCGTGACGTGTACTGCTGTGTACTGCCTGTAGGAGCGACTGCGTGACGTGTACTGCTGTGTACTGCCTGTAGGAGCGACTGTGTGACGTGTACTGCTGTGTACTGGCTGTAGGAGCGACTGTGTGGCGTGTACTGCTGTGTACTGCCTGTAGGAGCGACTGCGTGACATGTACTGCTGTGTACTGCCTGTAGGAGCGACTGTGTGACGTGTACTGCTGTGTACTGCCTGTAGGAGCGACTGCGTGACGTGTACTGCTGTGTACTGCCTGTAGGAGCGACTGCGTGACGTGTACTGCTGTGTACTGCCTGTAGGAGCGACTGTGTGGCGTGTACTGCTGTGTACTGCCTGTAGGAGCGACTGTGTGACGTGTACTGCTGTGTACTGCCTGTAGGAGCGACTGCGTGACGTGTACCGCTGTGTACTGCCTGTAGGAGCGACTGTGTGACGTGTACTGCTGTGTACTGCCTGTAGGAGCGACTGTGTGACGTGTACTGCTGTGTACTGCCTGTAGGAGCGACTGCGTGACGTGTACTGCTGTGTACTGCCTGTAGGAGCGACTGTGTGACGTGTACTGCTGTGTACTGCCTGTAGGAGCGACTGTGTGACGTGTACTGGCTGCTGTGTACTGCCTGTAGGAGCGACTGCGTGACGTGTACTGCTGCTGTGTACTGGCTGTAGGAGCGACTGCGTGACGTGTACTGCTGTGTACTGCCTGTAGGAGCGACTGTGTGACGTGTACTGGCTGCTGTGTACTGCCTGTAGGAGCGACTGTGTGACGTGTACTGGCTGCTGTGTACTGCCTGTAGGAGCGACTGCGTGACGTGTACTGCTGTGTACTGCCTGTAGGAGCGACTGTGTGACGTGTACTGGCTGCTGTGTACTGCTTGTAGGAGCGACTGTGTGACGTGTACTGGCTGCTGTGTACTGCCTGTAGGAGCGACTGTGTGACGTGTACTGGCTGCTGTGTACTGCCTGTAGGAGCGACTGTGTGACGTGTACTGGCTGCTGTGTACTGCCTGTAGGAGCGACTGTGTGACGTGTACTGCTGTGTACTGCCTGTAGGAGTGACTGTGTGACGTGTATTGGCAGCTGTGTACTGCCTGTAGGAGCGACTGTGTGACGTGTACTGGCTGCTGTGTACTGCTGTGTACTGCCTGTAGGAGCGACTGCGTGACGTGTACTGCTGTGTACTGCCTGTAGGAGCGACTGTGTGACGTGTACTGGCTGCTGTGTACTGCCTGTAGGGCGACTGCGTGACGTGTACTGCTGTGTACTGCCTGTAGGAGCGACTGCGTGACGTATACTGGCTGCTGTGTACTGCCTGTAGGGCGACTGCGTGACGTGTACTGCTGTGTACTGCCTGTAGGAGCGACTGTGTGACGTGTACTGGCTGCTGTGTACTGCCTGTAGGAGCGACTGCGTGACGTGTACTGCTGTGTACTGCCTGTAGGAGCGACTGCGTGACGTGTATTGGCTGCTGTGTACTGCCTGTAGGAGCGACTGTGTGACGTGTACTGCTGTGTACTGCCTGTAGGAGTGACTGTGTGACGTGTATTGGCAGCTGTGTACTGCCTGTAGGAGCGACTGTGTGGCGTGTACTGGCTGCTGTGTACTGCTGTGTACTGCCTGTAGGAGCGACTGTGTGACGTGTACTGCTGTGTACTGCCTGTAGGAGCGACTGTGTGACGTGTACTGGCTGCTGTGTACTGCCTGTAGGGCGACTGTGTGACGTGTATTGGCTGCTGTGTACTGCCTGTAGGAGCGACTGTGTGGCGTGTACTGGCTGCTGTGTACTGCCTGTAGGAGCGACTGCGTGACGTGTACTGCTGTGTACTGCCTGTAGGAGCGACTGTGTGACGTGTACTGGCTGCTGTGTACTGCCTGTAGGAGCGACTGTGTGACGTGTACTGGCTGCTGTGTACTGCCTGTAGGAGCGACTGTGTGACGTGTACTGGCTGCTGTGTACTGCCTGTAGGAGCGACTGTTTGACGTGTACTGGCTGCTGTGTACTGCCTGTAGGAGCGACTGTGTGACGTGTACTGGCTGCTGTGTACTGCCTGTAGGAGCGACTGTTTGACGTGTACTGGCTGCTGTGTACTGCCTGTAGGAGCGACTGTTTGACGTGTATTGGCTGCTGCGTACTGCCTGTAGGAGCGACTGTGTGACGTGTATTGGCTGCTGTGTACTGCCTGTAGGAGCGACTGTGTGTCGTGTATTGGCTGCTGTGTACTGCCTGTAGGAGCGACTGTGTGACGTGTATTGGCTGCTGCGTACTGCCTGTAGGAGCGACTGTGTGACGTGTACTGGCTGCTGCGTACTGCCTGTAGGAGCGACTGTGTGACGTGTATTGGCTGCTGCGTACTGCCTGTAGGAGCGACTGCGTGACGTGTACTGCTGTGTACTGCCTGTAGGAGCGACTGTGTGACGTGTACTGGCTGCTGTGTACTGCTGTGTACTGCTGTGTACTGCCTGTAGGAGCGACTGCGTGACGTGTATTGGCTGCTGTGTACTGCCTGTAGGAGCGACTGTGTGACGTGTACTGGCTGCTGCGTACTGCCTGTAGGAGCGACTGTGTGACGTGTACTGGCTGCTGTGTACTGCCTGTAGGAGCGACTGCGTGACGTGTACTGGCTGCTGTGTACTGCCTGTAGGAGCGACTGTGACGTGTACTGGCTGCTGTGTACTGCCTGTAGGAGCGACTGTGTGACATGTACTGGCTGCTGTGTACTGCCTGTAGGAGCGACTGTGTGACGTGTATTGGCTGCTGTGTACTGCCTTTAGGAGCGACTGTGTGACGTGTATTGGCTGCTGCGTACTGCCTGTAGGAGCGACTGTGTGACGTGTACTGGCTGCTGTGTACTGCCTGTAGGAGCGACTGTGTGACGTGTATTGGCTGCTGCGTACTGCCTGTAGGAGCGACTGTGTGACGTGTATTGGCTGCTGCGTACTGCCTGTAGGAGCGACTGTGTGACGTGTATTGGCTGCTGCGTACTGCCTGTAGGAGCGACTGTGTGACGTGTACTGGCTGCTGTGTACTGCCTGTAGGAGCGACTGTGTGACGTGTATTGGCTGCTGCGTACTGCCTGTAGGAGCGACTGTGTGACGTGTATTGGCTGCTGCGTACTGCCTGTAGGAGCGACTGTGTGACGTGTATTGGCTGCTGTGTACTGCCTGTAGGAGCGACTGTGTGACGTGTATTGGCTGCTGCGTACTGCCTGTAGGAGCGACTGTGTGACGTGTACTGGTTGCTGTGTACTGCCTGTAGGAGCGACTGTGTGACGTGTATTGGCTGCTGCGTACTGCCTGTAGGAGCGACTGTGTGACGTGTATTGGCTGCTGTGTACTGCCTGTAGGAGCGACTGTGTGACGTGTACTGGCTGCTGTGTACTGCCTGTAGGAGCGACTGTGTGACGTGTACTGGCTGCTGCGTACTGCCTGTAGGAGCGACTGTGTGACGTGTACTGGCTGCTGTGTACTGCCTGTAGGAGCGACTGTGTGACGTGTACTGGCTGCTGTGTACTGCCTGTAGGAGCGACTGTGTGACGTGTACTGGCTGCTGTGTACTGCCTGTAGGAGCGACTGTGTGACGTGTATTGGCTGCTGTGTACTGGCTGTAGGAGCGACTGTGTGACGTGTACTGGCTGCTGTGTACTGGCTGTAGGAGCGACTGTGTGACGTGTACTGGCTGCTGTGTACTGGCTGTAGGAGAGACTGTGTGACGTGTACTGGCTGCTGTGTACTGGCTGTAGGAGCGACTGTGTGACGTGTATTGGCTGCTGTGTACTGCCTGTAGGAGCGACTGTGTGACGTGTACTGGCTGCTGTGTACTGGCTGTAGGAGAGACTGTGTGACGTGTACTGGCTGCTGTGTACTGGCTGTAGGAGCGACTGTGTGACGTGTATTGGCTGCTGTGTACTGCCTGTAGGAGCGACTGTGTGACGTGTACTGGCTGCTGTGTACTGCCTGTAGGAGCGACTGCGTGACGTGTATTGGCTGCTGCGTACTGCCTGTAGGAGCGACTGTGTGACGTGTACTGGCTGCTGCGTACTGCCTGTAGGAGCGACTGTGTGACATGTACTGGCTGCTGTGTACTGCTGTGTACTGCCTGTAGGAGCGACTGTGTGACGTGTACTGGCTGCTGTGTACTGCCTGTAGGAGCGACTGCATGACGTGTACTGTCTGCTGTGTACTGCCTGTAGGAGCGACTGTGTGACGTGTACTGGCTGCTGTGTACTGCCTGTAGGAGCGACTGTGTGACGTGTACTGGCTGCTGTGTACTGCCTGTAGGAGCGACTGTGTGACGTGTACTGGCTGCTGTGTACTGCCTGTAGGAGCGACTGCGTGACGTGTACTGGCTGCTGTGTACTGCCTGTAGGAGCGACTGTGTGACGTGTACTGGCTGCTGTGTACTGCCTGTAGGAGCGACTGTGTGACGTGTATTGGCTGCTGTGTACTGCCTTTAGGAGCGACTGTGTGACGTGTATTGGCTGCTGCGTACTGCCTGTAGGAGCGACTGTGTGACGTGTACTGGCTGCTGTGTACTGCCTGTAGGAGCGACTGTGTGACGTGTATTGGCTGCTGCGTACTGCCTGTAGGAGCGACTGTGTGACGTGTATTGGCTGCTGCGTACTGCCTGTAGGAGCGACTGTGTGACGTGTATTGGCTGCTGCGTACTGCCTGTAGGAGCGACTGTGTGACGTGTACTGGCTGCTGTGTACTGCCTGTAGGAGCGACTGTGTGACGTGTATTGGCTGCTGCGTACTGCCTGTAGGAGCGACTGTGTGACGTGTATTGGCTGCTGCGTACTGCCTGTAGGAGCGACTGTGTGACGTGTATTGGCTGCTGCGTACTGCCTGTAGGAGCGACTGTGTGACGTGTACTGGCTGCTGTGTACTGCCTGTAGGAGCGACTGTGTGACGTGTATTGGCTGCTGCGTACTGCCTGTAGGAGCGACTGTGTGACGTGTATTGGCTGCTGCTGTACTGCCTGTAGGAGCGACTGTGTGACGTGTATCTGGCTGCTGTGTACTGCCTGTAGGAGCGACTGTGTGACGTGTACTGGCTGCTGCGTACTGCCTGTAGGAGCGACTGTGTGACGTGTACTGGCTGCTGTGTACTGCCTGTAGGAGCGACTGTGTGACGTGTACTGGCTGCTGTGTACTGCCTGTAGGAGCGACTGTGTGACGTGTACTGGCTGCTGTGTACTGCCTGTAGGAGCGACTGTGTGACGTGTACTGGCTGCTGTGTACTGCCTGTAGGAGCGACTGTGTGACGTGTACTGGCTGCTGTGTACTGGCTGTAGGAGCGACTGTGTGACGTGTACTGGCTGCTGTGTACTGGCTGTAGGAGAGACTGTGTGACGTGTACTGGCTGCTGTGTACTGCCTGTAGGAGCGACTGTGTGGCGTGTATTGGATGCTGTGTACTGCCTGTAGGAGCGACTGTGTGACCGTGTACTGGCTGCTGTGTACTGGCTGTAGGAGAGACTGTGTGACGTGTACTGGCTGCTGTGTACTGGCTGTAGGAGCGACTGTGTGACGTGTATTGGCTGCTGTGTACTGCCTGTAGGAGCGACTGTGTGACGTGTACTGGCTGCTGTGTACTGCCTGTAGGAGCGACTGCGTGACGTGTATTGGCTGCTGCGTACTGCCTGTAGGAGCGACTGTGTGACGTGTACTGGCTGCTGCGTACTGCCTGTAGGAGCGACTGTGTGACATGTACTGGCTGCTGTGTACTGCTGTGTACTGCCTGTAGGAGCGACTGTGTGACGTGTACTGGCTGCTGTGTACTGCCTGTAGGAGCGACTGCATGACGTGTACTGTCTGCTGTGTACTGCCTGTAGGAGCGACTGTGTGACGTGTACTGGCTGCTGTGTACTGCCTGTAGGAGCGACTGTGTGACGTGTACTGGCTGCTGTGTACTGCCTGTAGGAGCGACTGTGTGACGTGTACTGGCTGCTGTGTACTGCCTGTAGGAGCGACTGCGTGACGTGTACTGGCTGCTGTGTACTGCCTGTAGGAGCGACTGTGTGACGTGTACTGGCTGCTGTGTACTGCCTGTAGGAGCGACTATGTGACGTGTACTGGCTGCTGTGTACTGCCTGTAGGAGCGACTGTGTGACGTGTACTGGCTGCTGTGTACTGCCTGTAGGAGCGACTGTGTGACGTGTACTGGCTGCTGTGTACTGCCTGTAGGAGCGACTGTGTGACGTGTACTGGCTGCTGTGTACTGCCTGTAGGAGCGACTGTGTGATGTGTATTGGCTGCTCCGTACTGCCTGTAGGAGCGACTGTGTGACGTGTACTGGCTGCTGTGTACTGCCTGTAGGAGCGACTGTGTGACGTGTATTGGCTGCTGTGTACTGCCTGTAGGAGCGACTGTGTGACGTGTACTGGCTGCTGCGTACTGCCTGTAGGAGTGACTGTGTGACGTGTACTGGCTGCTGCGTACTGCCTGTAGGAGCGACTGTGACGTGTACTGGCTGCTGCGTACTGCCTGTAGGAGCGACTGTGTGACATGTACTGTCTGCTGCGTACTGCCTGTAGGAGCGACTGTGTGACGTGTACTGGCTGCTGCGTACTGCCTGTAGGAGCGACTGTGTGACGTGTACTGGCTGCTGTGTACTGCCTGTAGGAGCGACTGTGTGACGTGTACTGGCTGCTGTGTACTGCCTGTAGGAGTGACGGTGTGACGTGTACTGCTGCGTACTGCCTGTAGGAGCGACTGTGTGACATGTACTGTCTGCTGCGTACTGCCTGTAGGAGTGACTGTGTGACATGTACTGGCTGCTGCGTACTGCCTGTAGGAGCGACTGTGTGACGTGTACTGTCTGCTGCGTACTGCCTGTAGGAGCGACTGTGTGACGTGTACTGTCTGCTGCGTACTGCCTGTAGGAGCGACTGTGTGACATGTACTGTCTGCTGCGTACTGCCTGTAGGAGCGACTGTGTGACGTGTACTGGCTGCTGCGTACTGCCTGTAGGAGCGACTGTGTGACATGTACTGTCTGCTGCGTACTGCCTGTAGGAGCGACTGTGTGACGTGTACTGGCTGCTGCGTACTGCCTGTAGGAGCGACTGTGTGACGTGTACTGGCTGCTGCGTACTGCCTGTAGGAGCGACTGTGTGACGTGTACTGGCTGCTGCGTACTGCCTGTAGGAGCGACTGTGTGACGTGTACTGGCTGCTGCGTACTCCCTGTAGGAGCGACTGTGTGACGTGTATTGGCTGCTGCGTACTGCCTGTAGGAGCGACTGTGTGACGTGTACTGGCTGCTGTGTACTGCCTGTAGGAGCGACTGTGTGACGTGTACTGGCTGCTGTGTACTGCCTGTAGGAGCGACTGTGTGACGTGTACTGGCTGCTGTGTACTGCCTGTAGGAGCGACTGTGTGACGTGTACTGGCTGCTGTGTACTGCCTGTAGGAGCGACTGCGTGACGTGTACTGGCTGCTGCGCGTCTGTCTGCGCACGGTGGAGCGTGCCGACCTCACGGGCCCGCTGCTTGGCTTCCTGCCCGAGTTCTACGTGAGCGCCGCCATGGGCTGTTACAGCGCCATCAAGAACTACTTCAGCCCCGTCAGCTGCCCCGACGAGCTGCCTGGTAAACCTCGCACGCCACGGTGATGGTGGTTGTGCGTGGTGGTGGTTGTGCGTGGCGGTGGTTGTGCATGGCGGTGGTGGTGGTTGTGCGTGGCGGTGGTGGTGGTTGTGCGTGGCGGTGATGGTGGTGGTGGTGGTGGGTGTGCGTGGCGGTGGTGGTGGTTGTGCGTGGCGGTGATGGTGGCAGTGGTGGTAGTTGTGCGTGGCGGTGGTGGTGGTTGTGGGTGTGCGTGGCGGTGATGGTGGCAGTGGTGGTGGTTGTGCGTGGCGGTGATGGTGGTTGTGCGTGGCGGTGGTGGTGGTGATGGTGGCGGTGGCGGTGGTGGTGGTTGTGCGTGGTGGTGATGGTGGTGATGGTGGTGGTGGGTGTGCGTGGCGGTGATGGTGGTGGTGGGTGTGCGTGGTGGTGGTGCATGGTGGTGGTGCGTGGCGGTGATGGTGGTGGTGGTTGTGCATGGCGGTGATGGTGGTTGTGCGTGGCGGTGGTGGTGGTGCGTGGTGGTGATGGTGGTGGTGATGGTGGGTGTGCGTGGTGGTGGTGGTGATGGTGGTGGTGGTTGTGCGTGGCTGTGACTGCTGGGCGTGTTGCAGGGTACCAGCAGACCCTCACCCAGCTCGCCACCATCCTCACCAAGCACTTTGTGGACTCCAGGATCATCGGCACCGGTGAGTGACGGGCGGTGGCTACCGGGCTCTCTCTTTCTCTCTCGCGCTTCCTTGCTTAAACTAATACTGCCGGACAATATTTGGTGTGGAGTTCCAATCGGGTGATGAGCTATGATGATTATTATTTTCGCTCCTGCTATTCTAGCCAGGCAAGCCGCTTCGGAGTCGCACGATTTTCTTTATTTGCGGCAGCAGCAGGGGGCGCCAATTGCCACCGGTTTCCCCATCGTTTCCCAGTTGGGTAATAATTGTCAGCGGGTGACGTTTCGAGCGTGTCGAATGCGGGCCGTGGCGACGGCACGTGCGGGGGGTCCTTACCCTTCTGCCATTGAAACCGCCGCCACAATGGCGGCCCCTGGGGGTTCGTGGCGGACGCACCGGGGGGGGGGCGGCCCGTTGGGTTTCGAAGCGTCGTCACTCAGAGACCAGGGAGGGCGCGGAACAGCTCTTGTGCCCGCCTGTGGCCTTCCTGTGGCCCATTTGTGGCCCATTTGTGGCCTACCTGTGGCCCGCCTGTGACCCACGATGCGGCCCAGCACCGCCCAGCGGCGCGCTCACGGCCGCGCCGTGTCCTCCCCGCAGACATCAAGGACTCGCTGATGCAGGCACTCGCCAGCTTCGTCTGCTACCCCGACTCGCTGAAGGCCGTGGAGCGAACCCCCGCCGACATGTGCGTACCCCCACACCCCCTCCCCCCACACTCGGGCGATCGTCCTCGCCGGCAAACGTCGCCGGCAAACGTCGCCGGCGACGCCATTCCGAACCGGCGCCTGCGACCGCGTGGCGCAGTGGCGTTCTTCAGCCAATGGCCCCTTCGGAGGAAGCCGGTCGACCGGTTTCGACCTTCCTGTACTCATCGGCAGAGTCGGACCTGTTGGGTTACCGGAGGCTATCGGAGCAGCGCTCCGTCTAGACGGCGGGACCTGCTTGAACGCGGTGCACGGCACCGTGCCCAGACGCGAGACGCGGCTCGATGAGAGGTGAAGAGGTGCTCCAGCGCGATGGCGGAGAGATGGAGATTAGAAGTCTGGAGACGAGCGACGCGTCCGCGGTCACGGTTACCGGTGCGATCGCGTCTGTCCACGCGTGCGTGACGCACGGAGAGAACAAGCGCGTGACACAACCCTCGCCTTGACACCGTTTCCCGTGCCTTGTCTGCCGTGAGCGTGTCGACGCGCCGCGCTCTCACTCGCCCCCTCGCTCGCCCTCTCGCTCGCTTTCTCCCTCGCTCGCTTCCTCCCTCGCTCCCTCCTTCGCTCGCTCCCTTGCTCACTCCCTCGCTCCCTCCCTCGCTCGCTCCCTCGCTCACTCCCTAGCTCGCTCGCCCTCTCGCTAGCCCTCTCGTTCTCTCCCTCGCTCGCTCCCTCGCTCGCTCCCTCGCTCGCTCCCTCGCTCGCTCCCTTGCTCGCTCGCTCCCTCGCTCGCTCCCTCGCTCACTCCCTCGCTCGCTCCCTTGCTCGCTCGCTCGCTCCCTCGCTCGCCCTCTCACTTGCCCGCTCGCTCTCTCTCTGTCTCGCTCTCCCCAGACGCGTGTCCATGATGCGCAGCCTCCTGGCGCCATACGAGCAGCGGCCTTGGGCTCAGACCAACTGGATCCTCGTCCGGCTGTGGAAGGTAGTGCCTGCTGGTGCCCCCCCCCCCACCTCTCCCCCCACCTCTCCCCCCACCTCTTCCTACCATCCCGCCGCCCGCCCGAGTTTGTTGAGATGGCCGGGTGGCTCAGGGGTCACTGAACCGGCCCCGCTGAGATCCTGGGTTCCAGTGCGGGTCTCGGCCGCCCCTCCGTTGACGAGTCGATGGCCTCAGCCCAGTGACCAGTTACTCATCTGAAGCAGTTTCGGCTCACTTGGAGATCCTGGGACTCACACAGAGACCCTGAGACTCACACAGAGACCCATAGACTCACACAGAGACCCTGAGACTCACACAGAGACCCATAGACTCACACAGAGACCCATAGACTCACACAGAGACCCATAGACTCACACAGAGACCATAACTCCCCTGAAGACTCACACAGAGACCCATCGAGCTCACACAGAGAGCCCATAGACTCACACAGAGACCTGAACTCACACGAGACCCAAGACTCACAGAGACCCTGAGAACACTCACACAAGAGACCCATAGACTCACACAGACCACCCATAGACTCACACAGAGACGCCATAGACTCACGACCAGAGAACCTGAGAGCTCACACAGAGACCCTGAGACTCACACAGAGACCCTTGAGACTCACACAGAGACCCCATAGACTCACCACCAGAAGACCCTAGAACTCACACAGAGACCCTGAGAACTCACACAGAGACCCATAGACTCACACAGATGACACTGAGACTACACACAGGAGCCCTGAGCTTCCACAGAGAACCCCATAGACCATCACACAGAGACCCTGAAGACTTCACACAGAGACACCATAGACTCACACAGAGACCCTGAGACGCACACAGATACCCATAGACTCACACAGGAGACCCCTGCAGACTCACACAGAGACCCATAGACTCACACAGACCCCATAGACTTCACACAGAGAACCACCCTAGACGCACACAGAGACCCCTGGAGAACTCACACATGAGCACCCTGAGACTCAACACAAGAGCCCATGAAGACTCACACAAGAGAACACCATAGAGACTCACACAGAGACCTGAGACTTCACACAGAGACCCATAGACACTCACACAAGAGACCACCCATGAGACTCACACAGAGACCCCAGAGACTCACACAGAGACCCATAGACTCACAACGAGAGACCCATAGACTCACAACAGAGACCACTGAGAACCACACCGAAGACCCTGAGACTCACACAGAGACCCACATAGACTCAACAGAACCCATAGCCCGAGACCATAGAACGCACACAGAGACCCATAGAAGACTACACACAGAGACCCTAGACTCACACAGAGACCCATAGACTCACACAGAGACCCATAGACTCACACAGAGACCCATAGACTCACACAGAGACCCATAGACTCACACGAGACCCATAGACTCACAGAGAGACCTCTAGACTCACACAGAGACCCATAGACTCACACAGAGACCCATAGACTCACACAGAGACCCATAGACTCACACAGAGACCCATAGACTCACACAGAGACCCATAGACTCACACAGAGACCCATAGACTCACACAGAGACCATAGACTCACACAGAGACCCATAGACTCACACAGAGACCCATAGACTCACACAGAGACCCATAGACTCACACAGAGACCCATAGACTCACACAGAGACCCATAGACTCACACAGAGACCCATAGACTCACACAGAGACCCATAGACTCACACAGAGACCCATAGACTCACACAGAGACCCATAGACTCACACAGAGACCCATAGACTCACACAGAGACCCATAGACTCACACAGAGACCCATAGACTCACACAGAGACCCATAGACTCACACAGAGACCCATAGACTCACACAGAGACCCATAGACTCACACAGAGACCCATAGACTCACACAGAGACCCATAGACTCACACAGAGACCCATAGACTCACACAGAGACCCATAGACTCACACAGAGACCCATAGACTCACACAGAGACCCATAGACTCACACAGAGACCCATAGACTCACACAGAGACCCATAGACTCACACAGAGACCCATAGACTCACACAGAGACCCATAGACTCACACAGAGACCCATAGACTCACACAGAGACCCATAGACTCACACAGAGACCCATAGACTCACACAGAGACCCAGACTCACACAGAGACCCATAGACTCACACAGAGACCCATAGACTCACACAGAGACCATAGACTCACACAGAGACCCATAGACTCACACAGAGACCCATAGACTCACACAGAGACCCATAGACTCACACAGAGACCCATAGACTCACACAGAGACCCATAGACTCACACAGAGACCCATAGACTCACACAGAGACCCTGAGACTCACACAGAGACCCATAGACTCACACAGAGACCCATAGACTCACACAGAGACCCATAGACTCACACAGAGACCCATAGACTCACACAGAGACCCTGAGACTCACACAGAGACCCTGAGACTCACACAGAGACCCTGAGACTCACACAGAGACCCTGAGACTCACACAGAGACCCATAGACTCACACAGAGACCCACAGACTCACACAGAGACCCTGAGACTCACACAGAGACCCTGAGACTCACACGGAACCCTGAGACTCACACAGAGACCCTGAGACTCACACAGAGACCCATAGACTCACACAGAGACCCTGAGACTCACACGGAGACCCTGAGACTCACATTGAGACCCATAGACTCACATGGAGACCCTGAGATTCACACAGAGACCCTGAGACTCACATAGAGACCCATAGAACTACAGAGACGCACAGAATGAATAAGGAGACCCGTAGATTCACGTCAACCGTGGGTTGTGATTACACCGGATTTTCGAGTCAGTGGCTGGTCTCTGCGCAAAAAAAACTAAAAACCTTCACCTTAAATTTGGTCCTGCATTAATTTTTGCTTAAATTATCTGAGAATTAAATGTGTGAGTTTGAATTTCATGCGACGAACATTGCTCTGTAGCAGTGGGGCTGTCGGGTCGTTTGAAGGAATTTGGAAGTAGTCACGAGTGGAGGCGGTGACGAGCGGAGGCGGTGGATCGTGCATGCCGTGATATCGTAGCACAATCAGCGTAACGCTGGGGTGAAATACTAGAACTAATTAAAACTTTATTTTACCAGGTAAGACCCACTGAGCTGTGTAGCTCTTGTTCAGAAGCGACCTGGCTGTCACAAATGACAGCTCGGCGAAGCGGCTTGTCGCGGGGAAATGTTCCGCGGCCAAAGACTCTGAGCGCGGGACTTTGATTCTAAATGAGGAGGGAAAAACTGGAGGATCAGGACCAAAAAAATCCACGCGGCCATGGCGAGGACATGCGAACTAGAAATATACAACTAGGCGGCATCAGGGTCGGGATCGAACCCACGACCTCCTGTATACCAGGCGAGGTAGTTAACATCTCCTAGCCATGGCAGGCGGCGCCCCTACAACAGTTTACAGGATTTCTATCGTCGCTACGCTCGACAATCCGGACTAATCACGGGCAGCGGCTGCTTCCCGAATTGAACCCGGGTCTCGGTGGTGCCGCCCCCCCCCCCCCCCCCCCCCCCCCACCGTGTCTCTGGCTTGTCGCGAGTCCCTCTGCGTCACCCCGGTGACGTTTGCCGATTATTCTCCTGGTTTTACCAAGACCCCGCCGTCTCGTCGTGCTGACTGCCGTGACGCCCGCGACGGGCGCCAGTTGATGTCGTCGTCGTTGTGGCGTGCAGGGCTGTGGGTTTGGGTACCGCTACACGCGGCTGCCTCACCTGCTGCGCATCAAACCTGAGGACCTCAACAACCCCACGCTGCAGAGTCAGTCCCGCACCAACACACGCAGACCACCACACACACACACACAGCACCAACACACACACACAGCACCAACACACACAGACCACCACACCAACACACACACACAGACCACCACACCAACACACACACAGACCACCACACCAACACACACACAGACCACCGCACCACACACACACACACAGCACCAACACACACAGACCACCGCACCACGCACACACACACAGCACCAACACACACACAGACCACCACACCAACACACACACAGACCACCGCACCACACACACACACAGACCACCGCACCACACACACACACAGCACCAACACACACAGACCACCGCACCACATACACACACAGACGACCACACACACACACAGACCACCGCACCAACACACACACAGACCACACACAGCACCACACACACACACAGCACCAACACACACAGACCACCGCACCAACACACACACAGACCACCGCACCACACACACACACACACAGACCACCGCACCAACACACACACAGACCACCACACCAACACAGACCACAACACCAACACACACACAGACCACCACACCAACACACACGCAGTCCACACACACACAGCACCACACACACGCAGACCACACACACACACACACAGCACCACACACACAGACCACCACACCAACACACACACACAGCACCACACACACGCAGACCACACACACAGCACCACACACACAGACCACCACACCAACACACACACAGCACCACACCAACACACACACAGACCACCACACCAACACACACGCAGACCACACACCACACACAGCACCACACACACACAGCACCACACCAACACACACACAGACCACCACACCAACACACACGCAGACCACACACCACACACAGCACCACACACACACAGCACCACACCAACACACACACAGACCACACACCACACACAGCACCACACACACACAGCACCACACCAACACACACGCAGACCACACCACACACCACACACACACACACACAACCACACACACACACACACCACACAGCACACACACCAGCACCAACACCAACACAGCACCACACACACACACAGACCACCACACCAACACACACACAGACCACACACCACACACAGCACCACACACACACAGCACCACACCAACACACACACAGACCACCACACCAACACACACACAGACCACCACACCAACACACACGCAGACCACACCAACACACACACACACAGCACCACCACACACCACAGCACACACACACACAGCACCAACACACACAGACCACCACACCAACACCACACACAGACCACACACCACACACGCACCACACACACACAGAACCACCACAACCAACACACACGCAGACCACACACCACACACACAGACCACCCACCCCAAACCACACACAGACCACACACCACACACAGCACCACACACACACAGCACCACACCAACACACACACAGACCACACACCACACACAGCACCACACACACACAGCACCACACCAACACACACACAGACCACCACACCAACACACACACAGACCACCACACCAACACACACACAGACCACACACCACACACAGCACCACACACACACAGCACCACACCAACACACACACAGACCACCACACCAACACACACACAGACCACCACACCAACACACACAGACCACACACCACACACAGCACCACACACACACAGCACCACCACACCAACACACACGCAGACCACACCAACACACACACACACACACAGCACCACACACACACACAGCACCACACACACACAGCACCAACACACACAGACCACCACACCAACACACACACAGCACCAACACACACACACACACAGACCACCACACCAACACACACACAGCACCACACACAGCACCAACACACAGCACCACACACACACACACAGCACCACACCAACACACACAGCACCACACCAACACACACAGCACCACACACACACACACAGCACCAACACACACACAGCACCACACACACAGCACCAACACACACACCACATACACACACACACCACGCCCTCCTCCACCCCCCCAATCGCCCACTGTGTGTGCGTGTGCGCGTCTGCATGGTGGTGGTGGCAGTGTTTTTAATGAGCGTTGTGTGCCATGTTGTGTCACCTGCCATCTCGTGGTGTGCTCTGGCTCAGGAGAGCTGTGCGTTGCTAGCCACCAGAGTAAGTGTCTCCACCCATTCACTCCGCGCTCGCCCAGAGCCCCCCGAGCGTTGGGCACGCAAACGCGCTCCGCAGACGGACGCGTCCAGCACGCACGCACGCACACGCATGACGCACGCACACTCAGATATACACCCCCCCACCCCCCCCCCCCCGTGTAGCCTTAGCAGACTGTTGGGGCAAGTGCTGTTGGGGAGCACCTGTGAAGGCCGGCACGGCACACGTGGGGGTGGGTGGCCAGTACATTCGTCTCCCCAGTGGCGATGTTTAAAAACCCGCACCAAGTGCTCAGGTAAGGCTGAGTTAACCTAGGGGATTCTCAGGACCTAATCAGACAATCGTCACTGATATTGGTTGTGAGCCGGAATCGAACCTGGGTCGTCGGGTTCATAATGTCGTCCGCTAATCACTGCGCCATCACTCACAACAAAGCCAAAGACAAATTTCCCCCGCAGAGCCTAAACAGACTGTGGGGGCAAGTGCTGTTAGCGAGCCCCTATGAAGGCCAGAACGGCACACGAGAGGGTGGGTGGCCAGCATCACGCCCGGCCGCCTTTGTCTCCTAAGTGGCGATGTTTACACACCGCACCATGTACGCATTTGAGGCTGAGTCGACCTAGGGGAGGCCCAGGACCAGTTCGCGATCATCGTCACTGATATTGGCCGTAAGCGCAGCACGCTAACCACTACGCCACCGCTCCCCACACACACGTACTCGGACGCACACACACACCACACACACACACCACACACACCACACACACGCACACACCACACACACACACCCACTTGGTGACGCAGAGACTCGCGTGCGCAGTCCTCCCCCGACGGTTTCCCCCGTGTGTGTCCATAGCTGGTAGCCTCTAACTCCTGTGGTCCGCAGCGTTGCCCTCCCCTCCGACCAGCTCCCCTCCCCGCCCCCTCCCTGGTCGCGCCTGCCCAAACCCTCGTCAGATCTCACGGCGTCAAGCGGGGCGAGGCTTGCGCTGGCGCTGGCGCGCGGGGGACCGCCTGGAACTGTCACGCGGTTGTCGGCTTGTCCTGCGAGGCACGGCGATGAATTGTCGAAGCTGTCCCGTGCGGATACTTTTTTGAGGAATTGGTTTTTTTTACTCGCCGTTGCCGAGTGTCCCCACGGGGCTCCTCCGCTCCTCCTCCCCACCATGCGGAGGCCGACTCTTCGTTACTCGCGGCCAAACGTCCCAAGCGTAGCAGCGCCGTCCTGAGTTGCCGAGGTCTCGAGACTGGGCGAGGCTCAGTGAGGATTGGTTTTTACCTTTTCTGGCAATAAAGCGGTTGTGTTGAGATGTTAAGAGACCAAGCAGAAACCTTTTGCAAGGACTCCTGTCGGCATTACCCACTCGCACTTGTGGTGAACTCGCGTTCCTGGGTTGTCGTAGGCAGCGTTATTATTCTTATTGATCTCACTGTGCCATGCCTCTCCCACTGCACCCTTCCCTCGCGCCACGCTCCCCAATCTCTGGAATTCTCTGTGGCTGTTCCACCACACAGGATTCCCGAGTGTCGACATTGGGGTTGACATTTGTGTGTGCTGTGTGCGGTGTGGTGGGCGTGTGGGGTGTGCAGTGTGCTGTGTGCGGTGTGGTGTGTGCAGTGTGGTGTGTACGGTATAGTGTGTACGGTGTGGTGTGTGCAGTGTGTTGTGTATGGGGCGCCGTGTACGGTGTGGTGTGTACGGTGTGGTGTGCGTGGAGTGGTGTGTGCAGTGTGGTGTATACAGTGTGGTGTGTGCGGTGTGGTGTGTATGGGGTGCCGTGTATGGTGTGGTGTGTACGGTGTGTACGGTGTGGTGTGTGTGTGTCATGTGGCGTGTGTGCTGTGGTGTGTGAGGCACGGTTGTTTGGAGGGCGATGATTGAGTTCCGACTACTGATGGTGTTCACTAACAGCTGACTGGTCTGTCACCCCTTTGTGTCTCACCCCTTTGTGTCTCACCCCTGTGTCATTGCTCATTTGTCACCCTCTGGATGTGTCACTGCCTTATCCCACTTACCACCCCGCGCACCACCTCCCTCACCTGCCCCCTCTAGAGCCGTGCCCGTCGCGCGCCCTGCAGGCCCACGCGGCGACGCTGCTCAGGGAGGAGGCGGCGCTGGCGGCCGGCTTCATCAACAGCGTCCTCAACCAGCTCAACTGGGCCTTCTCAGAGTTCATCGGCATGATTCAGGAGGTCCGTGCGCGCGTGCGTCTGTGCGTGTGTTTTGTGCGCTCGTGCGTCTGTGCGTGCGTCTGTGCGTGCGTCTGTGCGTGCGTCTGTGCGTGCGTCTTTGCGTGCGTCTGTGCGTGTGTCTGTGCGTGCGTTTGCATGCGTGTGTCTGCGTGCGTGTGCATGCGTGTGTATGCGTCTGTGCGTGTGCGTGCGTGCATGAGTGTGCTTGCGTGCGCGTGCGCGAGGTCCCGGAAACGATTATCCAACATTGCTGCCCTTGCCAGGCGGCAGGCCGAAGAGAGGCTTGCGGAGCCCCCAATGTGGTTGATATGTACGTGTGCACGTTGAACCTCTTTTCGCACAGTACGTAGCCAACCGTGCTAATTGGAGGTGTGGGGTAAAGGACAACAAACTAAACACAACAACAAGGAGTTCCAAAGAAATGAGTTTTCAATCTCGATTTTAAAGTGCATAGCTCCAGTGGATTCCTAATATCGCAAGGAAGGTTTCAGGCCAGAGCGGTCCTGCACGGACGTGGTATTCTCCGTCCCTCTACCGCAGCAGAGGGCCTACACCTCTGCTTTATCGGCCTAAGGCCTATGATGCCATCAATAGGCCAGGCTCTGGGTTGTTCTCCGTACTTGAGAGCACCCTGACCATCCGGTCGCTCTCACGCGGGACTGTCGTAACGGTGGGCAGGCTCCGGTGTAAAGCCATTTAATGTTTTACCGCTGCTTGGGGTGCCGGCGTTGCGGCGGTGGTTGCCGTGGTAACGAAGGTGACCGCTGCTCGTGGCAGCCAGCGCTGGTGGATGGGGTAGGTGACGGCGATTCGGACGCCAGTCCACGGCACGGGCCGCGGTGGCGAGATGTGAACTCCCTCGCCTGGTATGCAGGAGGTCGTGGATTCGATCCCACCTACTGTATATTTGCAGTTTGCGGTGTCTTTCTCCCCGTGGTTGTGTGGATTTTCTCCGGATCGTCCAGTTTTCCCTCCACATTTAGAATCAACATCACACGTTCAGGAGTATTTGGCTGCTATAAATGTCCACGCGATGGAGATGAGCCACTTGGTCGAGCGATCATTTGTGAAAAAGAGCTACACAGCTCAGCGGGGGCCTTACCTGGGAAAACAAAATGGTTTTGTTTAGACGGCACTGACCTCTGTGTCTCGAACACCGCCGGACCCTCCTCCCGCTCAACCCTGTTCACCCCCACTGACCCCCGCTCACCCCCACTGACCCCCGCTCACCCCCCGCTCACCCCCCACTCACCCCCACTGACCCCCGCTCACCCCCAACCCGCAGATCCAGCAGACAGCGGAGCGTCCGGAGCGCAACTACATCGACAGCCGGCAGCTGAAGGTGTGTGCGACGTGCTTCGACCTGTCCGTGTCGCTGCTGCGCGTGCTCGAGATGGCCACGAGCCTGGCACCAGAGGCCTTCACCGACTTCAGCCGGCCCTCGGCCGAGCTGCTGCTCACACGGCTGGCGCAGGTGAGCGAGTTGTGGGGGGAGTGGAGGGGGGGCGGAACCGGCGGCGGTGATGTCGGGGAGCGGTTGGTGTCAGGTCGATTCTGGGAGACAAACAGCACGAGTCACGCACGGCGCCGCGGTGGCTAGGAGATGTTAACTACCTCGACTGGTATGCAGGAGGTCGTGGGTTTGATTCCGACCCTGATGCCTGCTGCTGTACATTTGGAGTTTGCAGTGTGTCTCTCTCTCTCATCATCATCACGGTGGCTAGGAGATGTTAACTACCTCGCCTGGTGTACAGGAGGTCGTGGGTTTGATTCCGACCCTGATGCCTGCTGCTGTACATTTGGAGTTTGCGGTGTATCTCTCTCCCCATGGTAGTGTAGCGGTTAGCGCGCTGCACTACGAACCTGGCAACCCGGGTTTGATTCCCGCTCACGGCCGACACCAGTAACGATTATCTGAACAGCTCCTGGGCCTTCCCTATGTCGACTCAGCCTCAAAAAAGTACCTGGTGCGATGTGTAAACATCGCCACTGGGGAGACAAAGGCGGCTGGGCGTGGTGCTGGCCTCCCACCCCCAAGTGTGCCGTGCTGGCCTTCACAGGTGCTAACAGCACTCGCCCCAACAGTCCGTTGCAGGCGATGTGGCCGCTTTGTACACGAAGCTGCCGGTCTGACGCGCGGCGCCGGTGTCGCGGCTCCCGCGTCGCCCCTCGTCCGCCCCCACGTCGCTCCGCTCGCGTGACGCCCTTGCTGCCCCCCCACCCCGCTTCCCTCCCCGCCCCGTCTGTGACCCTCTGTGACCCTCTGTGACCCTCTGTGACCCGCGCCCCTCACAGCTCATCAACCAGGTGCTGAATCGCGTGACGTCCGAGAGGAATCTGTTCGACCGAGTCGTCAACCTCCGTCTGCCAGGTGCGGGGGGCGGGGATCAGGGGGCGGGGGGCGGGGGGCAGGGGGCAGGGGGGGGCAGTGGGGGGGGGGGGCAGGGGCTACCACTGTTGGCTACGTACGGTGCGAAAGAAGTTCAACATACAAAGACAAAGATCCCCCGTGTAGCCTTAACAGATTCTAGATTTGAAGCTTTCGTGACTGCAAGGATTCATACTCTTAGTTCTTTCGGTAAAGTCACGTAGGTAAAAAATGAAATTAAAATTAATAGAAAATAAAAACAATATAATCACGACGTTTCGGAGATTTTTTGCTGTGACAGTTTCACCTGAAGACGGAAGCTTGTGTTGCCTCCGAAACGTCGTGATTTTATTGTTTTTATTTTTTATTAATTTTAATAGAATTTTTTACCTACGTGACTTTCCCGAAAGAACTAAGAGTATGAAGCCTTAACAGACTTGGGGCAAGTGCTGTTATGGCGAGTGCCGAGGAAGGCCGGAACGGCAGTCGAGGAGGTGGGTGGCCAGCACCACGCGTTTCGAGTGTTTGGCTGCTGCTCTGCATGTCCACGTGATGAGAAGCCACTCCGTTGAGCTGTCATTCGCGACAGCCAGGTCGCTACACAGCTCAGTGGGCCCTACATGGTCAAATAAACAAATAGTTTAATAGGCTTTATTCGTGGGCTGTGTAGCCGTAGCGCTTTGGTTTTGGTATTGGCAAGGTCACGCAGGGGGCATGGCAATACTCCCTGCCTTAGCCACCCGCGCTGACCAGCGTGGTGAAGTATGGCGGCGTGGTGGAGCGGCCGTTGTCCTGCGGCCGTTGTACTGCCGTGGGGTTGGCAGAACGGCCTTGCCTGCGTGGGGGTGCGGTGACATCTCCGTGTCCCCCCCCCCCCCCCCCTCGGGTTCAGGGCTGGACACGGTGGATCACTACCCCATCCTCGTGTCCCTCACCGGCATCCTCGTGCAGCTCCTGGTGGATGGAACCACCCAGAGGTGAGTGGGGGGGGGGGGGGGACGGGGGGGGGGCTGGGGGGTTGCAGAGGGAGTTGGCTCTGAACCAGCGGTCCCCAACCCCCGGTAGCGGCCCGTGGCCTGTTAGGAACGGGGCCGCACAGCAGCAGGAGGTGAGAGCGGTGGGTCCGCGCGTGGCCCCCACCCCCATTGTTTTATTGTTGACCACTTCGCGCCTCTCTCCTGCACTGCGCACTCGTCTCAGTCACGGTGTTGGTGAGCCCACAAGCTCTAACCCCTAGTAGCCACGATGAGTAGAAAACAAACGTCGCTGGAGAGCTTCTTTGAAAAGGGGGAAAGACCCAATGATGACCCCCCCCCCCCCGGTCCGTGAAACCGGTCCCTGGTGCCAACAAGGTTGGGGGCCGCCGCTCCAGACTGTAGTGACGTTGCTCTGTGCGTCTCGGTAACAGCACTTGCCCCAACAGTCTGTTAAGGCTACACGGGGGATCTTTGTTTGTGTTTGTCGGTGGGGCGGTGATCGAGTTGCGCTCCGACCCCGGGGACCCGAGTTTGATTCCCGCTCATGGCCAACACCAGGGAATCGGTCCTGGGCCTCCCCTAGGTCGACCCAGCCTCACCTCCGATTAGCACGGTTGGCTACGTACGTTGCGAAAGAAGTTCAACATACAAAGATCGCCCTTATACAAAATGAGTACCTGGTGTGGGGAGACCAAGGTGTGGTGCTGGCCACCCACCCTCTCATGCGCCGTGCCGGCTTTCATCGGTGCTCGCTAACAGCACTTGCCCCACCAGTCTTTTAAAGGCTGTACGGGGGATCTCTGTCTTTTTGTGTACATCTGTGTGCGCGTATCTTTTGAGTGTCTGTGTGTTGCATATCTTTGCATCTTTGTGTTGCGTTGGCGCAGCAGTTGGCACATAACACGACCAACCCGGCGAAACCTGAGTTTGATTCCCGGCTAAGGCTCTGTGACATCAGTTGCACGTGGCATCTGAACCCATTCTGACGCGGTGTGTTCGCACGAGCAATTTGAAAACCACGGCAGCCAGGCGTGGCGCTGACCACACCGTCGCCCCCTTGCAGATCCCGGCAACCACATAACATGGAGGATCTCTGTTTCATGATGTTTTAAGGTGTGTTGTGCCTTGAGCGGTGTGTGCGTGTTTCTGGGTGGATGATGCACTGTGTGCATAAAATTATTTGTCCGTCCACTGCTGGGTGTCAAGCCTTGCAGCAGCACACCGTATCGAGCCGCGGGGGTCGCTTCGGTGTCACGAAGCACGAGAATGGAACGGTTTCTCCGCGACGGAGCTGTCGAGTTGTCGCGTCCTTGCATCCGCGCGTCGCGGGCAGCCCCCCCCCAACCTCTCCCCCCCCCCCACCCCTCCCCCCCACCCCTCCCCCCGCCTATCGCCAGGAGACGGCACGCGGGCGACGGGATGCGGGTGGCCTGGGCCACGTCGAGTCGCGTGGCCTACCGGCGGAATACTTTAAAAGTGGCTTTTGAAAGATTCAAGATTGATTGAATACAAAAACTAAATGGAATAAGGCTACACAAACAAGGCGACTCCAGAGTGCAGAGTGCACAAGCGTAGGTGATGGGGTTGATGGTGAGAGCGAAGGCACGGCTCCGTTTGGATGTGCGCGCTATGGAGGAGCTCCTGGGAGCTTCTGGAGCAAAACGTTGGACGTCGTGCAGAAGGCCGCGTGGAGAGCGGCACCGATCAACCCGCGCGGCCGGGACCGCTAATGCACCCGGCCCTCGTCGCCACCGCCCGCAACCACGCGGTTACCGTGACGGCGCGTCCATGCGTTCGGGGTCGCCATGGCAACTTTGGTCATCCTCTTTAGTCGACAAAAACAACAATCGGCTGGCTTCTCATTTCACACGGAGTGGACCGGCAGTGTTGCGAGGTTTAATAAAAAATAACAACGGCCTGGCATGGACAACTTCAGGCTTACATAGAGGCCCATAGAGTCACAATCAGAATCATAGACTCACACAGAGACCCATAGAGTCACAAACAGAACCATAGACTCACACAAAGACCCATAGAGTCACCTACAGAACCATAGACTCACACAGAGACCCATAGAGTCACCTACAGAACCATAGACTCGCACAGAGACCCATAGAGTCACAAACAGAACAATAGACTCGCACAGAGACCCATAGACTCACCTACACAACCATAGACTCACCTACAGAACCATAGACTTGCACAGAGACCCATAGAGTCACCTACAGAACCATAGACTTGCACAGAGACCCATAGAGTCGCATACAGAACCATAGACTCGTACGGAGACCCATAGAGTCACAAACAGAACAATAGACTTGCACAGAGACCCATAGAGTCCCGTAGACGTGTGCACGATGGAAACGGGCTAGTGGCGGTACCGCGCGCTGCGCCGGATCGGCACTCGCCAGATAGCGGTGCCGAGAACACCGGCGGGTGGGAGCCAATCAGCGGCTCGGTGGCTGCTTGGTGGCTGGCTTGGTGGCTCGCTCGGGCCATCAAAGAGCGCGATGAGTGGGGTCGCGCAGTGGGGTCCGCAGGGCGTTTAATTAGCTCGCGAGAGGGGGACGCAGAGAGAACAAAGCAACCGCGAGGGGTGGGGGAGCGGACACGATGGGGGTGGTGTGGTGTGGGGTGCAGGGTCCCAGGAATTGGCTGCGATCATTGAGGGTCGTGTGGACTAAATAATTAAATATTCAGGTGCTACCCCCCACCCCGGTCGCACGATTTGTGTCGTCCTGAGACGAAGAACGAAGAATCCGTTGGTAAATCTTCACAGGGCGGCAGATGTCACAGAGATACTCATCGGGAGGTTCCCTCCATCGACCTGTGGTCCGTACGTACGTGTGCGTGCGTGCGTGTGTATGTGTGTGTGTATGTTGGACTTCTTTCACGCCATGCGTGGCCAATCGCAGGCGCGGGGGAAGGACAACGCAGCAGGGGGCGGCGCTTGCGGCAGCCGCTCGGCACACGTCCGTCGCGCCGTGGTCGTCGCCCAAATCGATTTTTGTTTGTTCCCGGAGACGGAATTTGTCCGAGGTGAGGTGCCAATGCGCCGCCGCGGGGTGGGTCGCCTTGACGACACAAACCCTCCCCAGTTGCCCCACGACTGCCGTGGCCACCGAGCGGCCCCGTTGTTCCCTCCGTGTCCGACGTTCAAGCGCCGCCCCCTTCCGCCTCTAAACCGACGGATGCCGAGACGGCGATCGGCGGGGCGCGGGGGAGCGAGCGCGGGGGAAACGACCTCCCCAGAAACGTCGCTCTCCCGCGGCCACCGCGCCACTACAACAATCGTCGTCACGGTGACCCGCACGTCCCTCCAACCCCGCGCCCCCTCGTACGCACGCGCCGTCCGGTGGCGCTGTCGCTCTCTTGTTGCGCGCTTTGTTTGTTTGTTCGGCGTGAAGCGACACTTGTTGGCCAGGGAGACGGGAGGCCCCGGGGAGGGAGGGAGGGAGAGAGACGCTATTGTTCGTGCCTGGCGAGCGGTGGACACGGGGGACACGGGGACGTGGTGGGCGCCATATACGCGCGCGCCTTCCTCTCCCCCCCCCCCCCCCCCCCCGGTGGCCCGTCCTCTCTGCCGCCTCGCCGGGAGGACTTGCGCGCCTGTTCCATCACTCCGTGCGTTTGTCAAGCGTCGCTCGAGGAGCGACATGGAGCTTGGGGGGCTTGAGAGCGACGCGGCATGAGAGGCGGAGAGAGAGAGAGGGGGAGACGGGGTTGAGCCACGTGGTTGCACGCACCGCTCTCGCATTGCCTCCCACGGGAGATGGTTTCCTTGTTTCTCACTTTTGTCCCGGAACTCTCACTGAGCAGTACCGTGACCCCACCATAGACTCGCACAGAGACCCATAGAGTCACCTACAGAACCATAGACTCGCACAGAGACCCGTAGAGTCACATTCAGGACGAGAGACTCACATAGTGTCCCATAGACTTGTACACGGTGGACACGGGCCGCAGGAAGTGGCTATAGCGGAGCCACCTTCGAGTGACCTCTGGTCCACACCCAGTAAGGTGGTCGCCGCTTTTCTCCCAGCTGCTCTGCGCAGCGAGAGTGAACTTGGTCGCTTGCTTCAACTTTCAGAGCCGGACTTGAGAAACAAAATTAAGTCCGGAACCGAGCGGAACGCCCGTTTGAGAAGCCGGTTTTAACCACGGGAGATGCAGATCGGATACACGGGTTGTTTCCTAGTAACCGGCGGCACCAGGTGACGGCTCCAGGAAGGCCACGTGCCGCACCGCCGGCGCTCCGGCGCGGAGCCCCGCGCTCGGCTCCGGCGGGAACGGAGCGACGGCCTCCGGGATGAAGTCGAAGGCCCCGCCGTAGCGCCCGCGGCGGCACGGGCAGCAGCGGCGGCGGTGGCGGCACGGGCAGGGCGTGAGGAAGACGTACGCCAGCACCAGCAGGAGGCTGGCGGCGCACACGGCGAGCATGGTGACGAGCGTGGAGAACGAGGCGGAAGCTTCGGCGACCTCGGGCTCTGCCGGCTCGTTCTCGTCGTCCTCGTGCTCGTCGTTGTTGTCGTCCTCGTCGTCGTAGTCCTTGTCGTCGTCGTCGTAGTAGTTCTCGTCATTGCGGCGCGGAGCCACCGTGAGCCGCACGCGAGCCGCGACTCCGCCTGGGCGATGCCGGCACGAGTAAACCCCCGAGTCGGAGGTCACCGCGCCAATGATCAGCAACCGGCCGGTGCCGTGGCCGTGCGCCGTCGCCACCACCGCCACGCGCCTCCCGGCGGTCGCCGTCTCCCGGCCGCCGACGCTCCCCAGGACGAGCGAAGTGCCGCCCACGGTCTCGTTGTCCGGAGTCACCCACTCGACGCTCGCCGGTTCTCGGCCACCCGCCGGGAGCGCCACCGTCGCTGGGCAGCTGAGGGAGACATTGGCGCCGACGCGCGCCGCGTGGCGGAGCGACGGCCGGGCGAGCGGCCCGTGCCGCCCGGCGCACGGCGATTTCCACCCGGGCCCGGCGGCGCCGTCGTCGGGCAGAAACTCCGCCACGTCCCTCATCCTACCGTCGCCGTCGACCGACCCGTCGAGGCAGCGGAAGTCCGGCCAGTGCTCGAGCACCGGCCGGTAGGCGGCGCCGCGCAGCGCCGCCAGCGCTCGAGCGAGCCGGCACCCGCACGCGAAGGGGTTCCCGTGCAGGAACACGGCGGCGGCGCGGAGCCGCGCGGACGGCGGCGCCGACGGGAAGGCGCGGGCGCGGTTAGAGCTGAGGTCGAGCAGCGCCAGCGAGGGCGCCGCGCGCAGCACGGGCAGCACGGGCAGCGAGCGCAGGCGGTTGGCGCCCAGGTAGAGGCGGCGCAGGGCCGGGAGGCCCCCGAAGGCGCCGCGGAGCAGCCGGGCGATCTCGTTGCCCTGCAGCTCCAGCGAGCTCAGGCGCGCCAGCCCGGCGAACGCGTCGCGGGGAATCTCGCGCAGCGCGTTGAGCGAGAGGTCGAGCCGCTCGGTGCGCGGCACCGCCCGGCCCAGCAGCCCCGGAACCAGCGCCGAGATGCGGTTCCGCGCCAGCGCCACGCGCGCCGCCCTCGCCAGCGCCGCGCCGTCGCCCGCGGCGAACAGGAACGACGGGAAGAGCGTCAGCGCGTTGCCGCTCAGGTCGAGCGCGTGGAAGCGGTCGGGCACGCGGGCCGGCGCCTCGTCGTCCGACAGGCTCCGGCCGCCGCAGTCGAGGATGTCGCCGGCGCACACGCAGCGGCGCGGGCAGCGCCACGGACGCCGCGGCCCCCCCGGGGACCCCTCGTCGCGGACGTGGCCGAGCAGCAGCAGCAGGAGCGGCGCCGGGAGGATCATGTTCCGAGCGGCGCCCGCTCGTGATCGACTGCGTTGTCGGAGCCGGTTTCCCCGGCTACGCTGTGACCTTTGCGGCTCGGTGAGGATGCCCTGGGGAGCGGCAGCAGCTGTCGGCGCCTTCGCCAGCGTAAGTGTCGGAGCAAATGTTGGTGGCGCTGGGAACGTAGTTTTACCTGCGCGGGTGGTGGGTGTGCAGGTGGTGGGGTGTGCGGGTGGTGGGGTGTGCGGGTGGTGGGGTGTGCGGGTGGTGGGGTGTACGGGTGGTGGGGTGTGCGGGTGGTGGGGTGTGCGGGTGGTGGGGTGTGCGGGTGGTGGGGTGTGCGGGTGGTGGGGTGTGCGGTTAGTGGGGTGTGCGGGTAGTGGGGTGTGCGGGTGGTGGGGTGTGCGGGTGGTGGGGTGTGCGGGTGGTGGGGTGTACGGGTAGTGGGGTGTGCGGGGTACAGGCAGACGAAGTTGTGAGCGTTCGCTCACCTGCGCTCGGCTCCTCTTCTCACGGCCCAGCGTTCTCTCCCGTGCGCTCCCTCCTTTGCCACGCGACGAGCTGGCTCCCAATTAAAGTAATTAACGAGCCGAGCTCCGTCGACGTCGGCGGAGCACCTGGCGGCCCGCGGGCTCCGGCTCCGTCGAGAGAAACGAGAAATTTCTCGGGAGCGTTCGAGGCGCCGTGTGTGGCCCCCCGTGTGCACCCACGGAGCCGCGTGGCTGACGGCGTCGCCCGCGACGAGGTGGACCCGCGGGGAGTGAGCGGCGTAGTTGCCGCGATGCGGGCCGGGGAGTGGGCGGGGGGCGGGGGGCGGCACCGATTATTTATTTATTTGTTGTTTCCCGTCCCACTCTGCCTCGCCCGCTGGTGGCTTCGCTCGGCTTGCGTGGGCCCCTCCCCCCACAAACACCCCCACCCAGTTCACCACTCACTCACCCAGCTCACCACTCACCACTCACCCAGCTCACCACTCACTCAGCTCACCACTCACTCAGCTCACCACTCACTCAGCTCACCGCCTGACCCGGCGAGCGAGATGCCGCTCGGAGCGAGTCCGACGTGAAGGAGGGGTGACGGCCGCCTGTTGCCGCTGTCTCTTCCCACGGCCGTGGGGGAGAGAGGAGTCTGCACTGCGCAGAGCCCTAGCGCTGTGAGTGCAGGCGATGTGCCCGAGGAGGTTCAGCAGGGTGGGGGGCAGGGTGGAGATGCAGAGGTGTTTACCTGGGGCAGCGGGGGGGCGGGGGGGCGGGGTGACAGCCGAGGCTTCTGGGAAATCAAGATGGGAGGAGGTGGGGCGGTTGGGGAGGTGATGTTGATGCAGATGGTGATGATGGTCACCTGTAGTAATGGTCACGATGATGCTAATGTTGATGCAGATGGTGATGATGGTAGCATCTGTCGTGATGGTCAAGATGATGATGCTGGGCTTGGGGTGATGGTGACAATGATTGTGGGTTTGGTCGATCCTGAGGATGATGGCGGCCATGTCGGTCACGATGTTGGAGATGTCGATGACGAGTACAATGGAAGTGTCTTTGGTTGTGACGTCGATGGCGATGATGATTGGTTGTGTCGTTACTGGCCGTGTCGGTACCAGTGGCGGCGACGACGATGTTTCTGGCCACCACAACACTGTCCCCTCCTCTCACTAATCGGACTTGATCCATCGACCGCCAGTGCCGGTCTTAACGAGTCTCTCAGCACTCAAGAGCCCAACCCCCCCCAACGATCCCCCCCCCTCCCCGCCTCCCCCCCTCTTGGAGGCGTGGCCACCACTTTGATTGACAACTCGCGCTGCGTGCAGACAAGGCATCGCCACGTCTGTAACCACGGCAACCGTCTAAGTCAAGTCCACCGTCTCTGTTTGTAGCTCTCGTGGTATCCTAGCAACGCAAATGTTTTAGGGCATTGAATCATCATCATCGGCCAGGGTTAATCCACTGCTGATTGAAAGCCTCCCTAAGTTTCCACACCCACCACTTGGGAGATCCTGAGATGTAATGATCCGCGCGGCACGTGCGAACGAGCCGGTTTCATCGCTCCATCTCCTCGTAACCGTCGGCCGTGCCCACGAACGCAAATGCGTGCCTGATCCCGGGATCTCGGCGGTGCCGGTACCGGAGTCTCTGAGCCGCTGAGCAGCCCGGATTCACTTCTTGGAACGGATCGCGACCTCCCCCTCCAAAAGTCGCCGACGATTGGCGCCGGTAGGGGGGTGGGGGGAAATTGGCACCACGCCGTTGCGACGCTTCGTACGAAACGAGGCTCTACCTCCCCGGCGACTTCCAAACGCGATGCCGGGAACCGCGACCTCCACGCCGGCGCACGCACCTCCTGTTGACGCCGCCGCGGCCGTCGCCGTGCTTGCCGTTTGCGAGCGCTCGGAGTGATTGTGAATTTTATCCGAGTTAAGATAATGAGGATCATTTGCATAATCGCTGCCGCCGCTGTGAAAGTCCCGTGAATGTGCCGCTGCCTCTCGGCGGCGCGGCTCGGGGGGAGAGTGAGATGTCGGTCTGCCGCCCGCCCGCCCGCACGCTCGCACGCAAAGGCAAATCCGTCCGCGATCGTCTGGAGATTCCGCGTGGCCAGCGAAGAGTAAATCGCATCTTCCGCTCTCGGTCGACGGGAGAAGCTGACGGCGGGAGACGCGCCCCGGTTTGGTGACGATCCGCGGCTCGCCGAGACGGCCGAGCCGGGGGAGTGGAAAAGAAAGCGCCTCCCTCCCGCGGCCGATCGCGGCGCGGGGGGCCGGGAGACGCGGAACCCCGCGGGGGGCCGCGTCGTCCCTCATCGTCGTGCGCCCGTGGAGCTGGTGGCCACCGCGTCACCTCGCCACCTCACCACCTCGCCGCTCCCCCTCCGGGCCGCGCTCGAAGGAGGGGTTGAGGCGACGGACTTGGCGAGGGGGTTTCTCCGGTGCGTTGCATGCACCCCCACGATTCAGATTCGCGTAATTTTTCACTCGAGCCGAGGAGAGATTCCCTAATTGGGTCCCTTAATTGGTCTGCGGAGGACATCAATAATTCGGCCGCCGCCCCAGGGACCCCGGTGATATAATGATATAAAATTCTGTTATTTATTTTATTCTATCAGCACGTCGCTCGTGAAAGCGCTGCAGCAACGTGTTACGACGCGTCCTGCCCCCTCCCCCCCTGCTGTTTCTACCATACGACGTCTCTGACCGTGTGAGTTTCTGCTCCTCAGCTTTTGTTCCATTTTCTCCGCCGCCCTCCGTAGCTGCCGAATCCCCCGTGAGTGTGCATGGATTGTGAACACTCAACGCTTCCCCATGAGTGTGCATGGATTGTGAACACTCAACGCTTCCCCATGAGTGTGCACGGATTGGACACTCAATGCTTCCCCGTGAGTGTGCACGTGAGTGTGCACGTGAGTGTGCACGTGAGTGTGCACGTGAGTGTGCACGTGAGTGTGCACGTGAGTGTGCACACCTGCTATTGGGGTGGGGGGGGGTCCACTAGGTTGACGACGTGCACTCCGCTTCCTCGTCCCGGCCCAAGAGTTGACGCCTCCGCACACGCGCGCGCCTCCTTTGCTCGTCACCCGGGCCGCGGGGTCGCGACCTCGCCCCGGTGCCGTGAGAGCAGCGACCTCGCCTTCTCCGCTCTCCCCGCCCCCTGTTCTCTCGTCGTGTCTCTCCTCCCTCCGCTCTTCCCCATCCTCCGCCCCCCGCCGCCCCCCGCTTTCCCCGTCTCTCTGGGCGCCCCTCTCCCGCCTCCGCTTTGTACTCTCGCCGTGATCCGCTTATCCCCGATGCGGCGGATACTCGGCTTTTAGCTTTTATCACGCCCGCCCGCCCGCCCGCGTTTCGGATCGCCCGGCTCCCTCTCTGCCCGCGCTCTCGCCACAAGCGCTCTCGCCACAAGCGCATCGCGCTCGATCGATGCGGAGCCGCGTTTGTCACCCCCCCCCCCCACGGCATCCGTTTCTCACTCGGGACCTGCGCCCAAAGCGGCTGCTCTCTCCTCGGCAAGTCTCTGCTGAAGCCGTCTCTCTCCCTCGTCGCGTCCAGCAACTCGCTCCTTCCTTACCCCGCCCACGCCCCCCTCGTCTCCAAACCCCGGGTCAACACGGAATCCCAGATTTCTCGCCCGCGCCGCGTGAACGTCGCCATGTCCTTGGAAGCGCCGAATGCAAACGGCAAGTGTTGGGGCAACTGTGGCGCCCAGACTCGGCGCTTCGAGTCGCGAGCAATTAGAGCGGGAGACCCCGGGGGTGCAATCTCATCAGTGCCGGCTCAGCGACCACGACCCTCGTGAATTAAAATTTGAAAAGTAAAAAGTGAACCTAATAATTTGAGATTGCATTATTGCGTCTGTTAAAAAAACACATCAACTATTGTATTCTTAGGTTTTTTCGGTAAAGTCACGTAGGTAAAAACATTAAAAAGTAAATGTTTTTACCTAAGTGACTTTACCTAAAAAACCTAAGAATATGCATCATTGCAGTCACGAAAACTTCAAATCTAGAATCAATTATTGTAAAGCCGCACTGAGCTACACAGCTCTTTTTCTGAAGCGGCCTGGCTATCACGAATGACAGCTCAACGAAGTGGCTCATCACGTGGAAATGTAGAGCAGTCAAATACTCGCAACGCATGGGAGGTCCATGAAACGTATGGGATGTCAATGAAAATCCTAATTTTTATTGGGTAGCATTCAACAGCCGTGTTGTGACGTTTGTACCGATAATTACATTCGTACGGCCGGCACGGTTCGGCTGCCGCCGTGCGTACTTTCAAGCGGCCGCTTCCTGCGCATTCCCCTCCCTCGCGCTGCTCGTGGCTCCGTGAGGAATCAAGGCGGCGGTGGCGAGGGGCTCAGCTGTGCGCGGTGCGGAGCTCGAAATGAGAATTTGAGAGGAGCGATCTCCCAGCAAGTAGCCCCCCCCACGCCACCCACCCCCCCTCACGGGGTGCTGGGGAGAGAGGGGGGGGTTGCCACCTGTCCCCCGGTTGTCCCAGGATGTTCGTCGCGCCGAGGAGGCAGCCATGTCTGGTCGAGGTGCGAATATTCCCAGGGACGGGTTGATAAAGCGGCCGTCACTGCCATTTCAGATCTCGTTCGAAACTGTATTTGTTATTTTACCAGGTAAGACCCACTGAGCTGCGTAGATCTTTCTGAGAGGCGACCTGGTCATCACAAATGACAGCTCAATAAAGTGGCTTACCTTCACGTGGAAATGTATGGCGGTAAAATACTCTAAGCGTGTGATGTCGGTTCTAAATGTGGGGGGAAAAACCGGAGGACCCGGGGGGAAAAATCCACGCGACCGCGGAGAGAGACACGCAAACTCCAAACATACAGCAGGCGTCATGGTCGGGTTCGAACCCACGACCTCCTGCGTACCAGGCGAGGGAGTAAACATCCCCGAGCCACCGCGGCGCCCCTATCCGTTTTATCGTGCGCCTGCAGTGCGCCAGCGGAGGTGCTTGCGACACGGCGGTCTTGTTATTTGTGCCGGTGCAGTCAGAGCGGCGAGGCGCTGGCGACTAGTCACCCC